TGATTTTAATTAATAATTTTGTTTATCCAAAATAAAAAAATGTAAAAACATTCATTGTGACAGAGGAAGGTATAAGATATGTACGTACTTGGAAGAGGCTGGGTCGAAAAAATAATTGGGTCATGTTGTAAATTTTTTATGATTATCAACAAAAAATGAAAAATAATTTGTCTTTTAATTTTAAAAAATTTCCAAAAAAAATTTTGTTTAAAAAAATAAAAACTAAAAACAACCAAAGAAAACTTGCTATACGGGAGAAGGGGGAGGTCCCAAATTCTCGAGTTTAAAATTTTAAAATATCTTTTAGAGCATCTATTCTTTTCCAAAATTAATCATTGTAGTAGATGAAGATTCCCCTTTTTCTAATAAATATTTCTTTCTTTCCTTTTTATGAGCATTAACCCAAAATGGTTCATAATTATATAGCTTGGCTTTAGTTAAATCTAGCAAATATTTTGAATCTGGTCTCCATTTTTGATTTTTATAAAAACACTCCTTAAATATTTTAATTTAATAATAATACTTTAAAAAATACCTTAAGAATTGACATAACTTTCGGGTAATTTTTAGATAAAATATCATTTAAATTATTCACAATACTTTCAGTAAAATTCTTTTCTTTGGGGCGGGAATTCTTTTGATAACTAATCTCAACCATTCTCCTCAAAAATCTAATTCGTGTTTCCCCCTCATTTCTTTCCTCATTAATATCATTATCGCCATAAACAACTCGATTTATTTCTATTTTATTATTTTCATAAAAATCTTCGAAGAAAGGTGCCGAAGTAAGTAAATCTAGACAAACCATAGCAAAAGACCAAATGTCTGTTTGTTTACTCACCTTAATTTAACTTGCATAAATATGTAAAGTGAAATTGAGGAAGGAAGGAAAATTCCCAATGAAGAAAAAATGTGGGAGGATATGTACTAAAAATCCTTTCAATTAAGATTAATTTAAAATAATTTGTAAATTAATCACATAATTAATCACATACATTAAAATCATATGTTCTTGAATCATATATTTCAGGTCCAATATGTAATGAAACGGTTGGAATTTCAATAGGTTGTGGATTTATTTCGTTATTTTCTTTAACAGATTCTGCAAAATCAATTAATTTTAAATTTAAAGTTGTATTAGACGAAGATTCTTCCATTATTAAAATATTGCTTGCATTGAAATCAATAAGGATATAACCTAAAAACATTTAATTTTAACAAAATTATATATACAAGTAAACACCTGTATTATGAAATTCTACAAATCCTTCGAGAATTTGTTTCATTATTTCTAAAAACAATGTCTCGTTATATTCATTAGAATTTGTCATAAGATCTTTCCAAAAACATTTTAAAGTTGTATGTCCAAGTTCTAACTTTAATGCTTTTTGTGGTAAATTATTAACATAATATTCAACCCTTAATTTAAGAAAAATATTTTTTGATAAAATTTTAAATTAAATATGTACATTCCATAATATTTAATTAATCTTTCTGGTAATGGTTGGCTTTGCCAAATAAGTTCCAACATTTTTTCCTCCCTAGAAAGTGCTTCCTTTGCAATTTCCTCATCCCGTTGATTTCTACTAATTGAATGGGCTATTTTTAAAGCAATGCAATCACCCAAATATTTCCAATTTTGCGTATATGTTGCGTGATAAACCTAAATACATATAAATGTGAAAATATTTCCTTAGTAGTGAAAATTTTTATTTTTTAATATACGTAATTTTAATTTCAGAATAAACAGGTGAATTTGCCTTTGGGTATGTCACGATATGATAAAAAAAGAAATTGAAAAGATACTTTTCTCTTTTGAAAATTTTTTTAAATAGAAATTGTTCTAAATTATTTAACGTTTATAGTAGGGTTGGTCCCCGACCCCGACTAACCCCGACCCCGACCCCGAACCCCGACATTTTTTGACCTAAAACCCCGACCCCGACCCCGACATTCCCAACCCCGAAAACCCCGACCCCCGAAAGTTCGACCCCGACGACCCCGAACCCCGAAAAATTTTTATGCCCCCGACTCAAACTGCATTAATTAACTAGAGATCGGAACGGGATCGGGACTTTGATGCTAAATATATGAAGGAAAAGGGAAAGGAATATTTATATTTTCTCCTGTTTCCTTTTGTTGGTCGATGGTTGAGTGGTTAGGTTAACTGACTTCAGCCATCTAGCTATTTTGATAGGAATGTTGTTCGAATCCAGGGATGGAAATAAGGCTGAGAAAATTTTTCTTCTCAAAAATACATATTTTTAAACTATGATCTTGATTTTAAATTTGCAAATTTATTTTTTTTTATATTTTAAACATGAAACAATATTAGAATTTTAAACTAGTCATGAATTTTCCAAAATTTTCGCCTGCGGCGCAGAAAATTGAAGAAATCTGTCTCTTGGCCTTCCAAAATTCTAAAAATTTTTGCCTGCGGCGCCGAAAATGGAAGAAATCTGGCTCTTGACCTTCCAAAATTCTCAAAATTTTTGCCTGCGGCGCTAGACTCAATGAAGGGATACAGAGGCTTTAGGAGAAATTGATGGATAGATGGATTTCTCCCGTTATCCTTGCAACTCCCCGATATCCCGTCAAATCCTTCTAAATCCCATTATATCCATCTTAATCCTCTGATATGCCTTCATATCCCCTCAATCCCTTTACATAAGAGGTGGAGTAAGAGTTACCTTGTGGGTTTGGGGATTATGAAGGATAACTTGGATAAAGTACTTCTTGCGCCTTCAACTTATCACGAATTAGATACAGAAAGTGAAGATAATGAAGATTAAGTTGATTTTTTAATAAAAATGTTGATTTTGTACAGTAATTTTGGATAAAAATGCTGGATTTTGTAAATTTTCACTTCAACCCCGACCCCCGACCCCGACCCCGAACCCCGACATTATTTTCAGCCCCGACCCCGAACAATTTGAGCAACCCCGACCCCGACCCCGACTTTGTCAACCCCGAAAACCCCGACCCCCGACTTTTCCAACCCCGAAGGCTCGGGGACCAACCCTAGTTTCACCATTAAAGAAACGGATGGGTATCATTTCACAGATAAATTCTCTCCCGCATTTACATTTAAAAGATTTGGGTTGTCTTCTAATAATTCTTTCTCCTTCTGCATTAACTTCGAATTCCGCGTGTGAAAGGGGTTCTTTATTACCAACGATTCTTTGACCACAAAATAAGCTCTGCCTAAAAGTTTCTGATGTCCGGAAATTCGAATATGGCAAGAGTTTAGGCAAATATCTGCTTCAGAAATCGTGCACTTTTTTTGTTTTGCCCACTCCGAAAAGTGGGTAATAAAATTAGCGGGTAATCAAAATTCCAAAAAAAAAGTCGGAGCCTAACATTCAGAAAAACAAATTTACGGCACCCAAACTTATTATTTTTAAAAATAAATCGTGAAAGAATGAATTTACTTTATTTTATCCCAGGGCTCTCATTCGTGCTTTATTTGAAAGTATTATACTTTGAAACCGACCTCCATACTTAAGAAATTGAATTTATACTTTATTGAAAGTATATACTTTAAAATCAACATTTTGGATTGAAAATGAAATTGGGGAAGGGATTGGGCAAAAAAGTGAATTTTTTTAGCCTTGGGCCTTCGAAATTATCAAAATTTTCGCCTGCGGCGCTGAAAAAGAAAGAAATCTGGCTTCTTGGGCTCCAAATTTCAAAAAATTTTCGCCTGCGGCGCTGAAAATGGGAGAAATCTGACTTCTTGGGCTCCAAATTTCAAAAAATTTTCGCCTGCGGCGCTGAAAATGGGAGAAATCTGACTTCTTGGGCTCCAAATTTCAAAAAATTTTCGCCTGCGGCGCTGAAAATGGGAGAAATCTGACTTCTTGGGCTCCAAATTTCAAAAAATTTTCGCCTGCGGCGCTGAAAATGGACGAAAGCTTGAGGTTAAGACTGTCAAGGCTTTATTTCTTGTATCAGCGAATTTTGACATGTCATGCGTTGAAATGCACAAAATGCCCAATGGAAGCAAGAAATTATTAGAAAAGATTCATTTAAGAGAGAAATATAAAAGATTTGAGCACGAACAAATATTTTCCAATTTAATTTTGAGTATACTTTAAATTTGGAAATTTTCTCCCTATATACTTTTTTATCAAGATTTTGATACTTTTGAGTGGCATTTTGTCGATGAGAGCCCTGTTTTATCCCAATTAGTAAAACTTCTTTGTTTATTCATTCCGTTCGTCTTTAATGGAATAAAAATAGATACTAACAATAAGATAAACACTAATTCTTTACATAAAAATAATATCATCTTGAAATTGAGACAGAATTTTAATATTAATTGCTCAAATTAAAAATTATATTTTTGAAAATTTAATTTTTTAAAAATTATTTTCACTGCTTGCTAAATATGTATATGCGAGAAATCTACTATTATAGACACTTGATTAAAAATCAATTAATATCCTATACAAATTAATGTAAATTAAAAATCGATTTTAAAAGATGTAAAGGGCAAGTCTATTAGAATAGGGATATAACCTTTTTGCCGCTCTAATAAAATTATTTGCACTTTGACAATAATGCCGCTAATTAAATTCGACATCCACTCTGACATTTAAATAGTATAGTAATGATTAGGGATCGGAAAATAGTTTCCTGAAATAGTTATGGTGTGTGAGAAGCTCAAATCCGTTGTTATTTTTTGGATTTTATGTTTACGAGGAGTTAACATTACCTATTGAAACCTATTTTGGAACTTAATTTGAATGTTTAATAAAAATGTTATTTTTGCAAAAATTCTTATTAATTAGAAAAAAATTTCAAAATTTTCTTACCAACGAAAATTTTTTTTTAATTTTTGGAAAAAATATTTTTTCCAAAAATTCGAGAAATTTTTCTTATTATTTTACGGTGAAGATTTTGAAGGATAAGAATTTTTTAACAAAGGCCATAAGAGAAAAATGACATTTCTAAAAATTGAAAGAAATATAGAAAATCTTCATAATCTTCAAAGGACCACAAAAATCCGCATTTTTAAAAATAATCCTATCAAAAAACCACAAAATAAGGAAAAATCCGCACATATCGGAACCCCTCGTAAAATGGTTGACAAGTAAAAAACAGAATGTGGTAATATTGTAAAAAATAAAGTTACTTTTTTCCATTACTCAATTCAGTTGAATATTAAGCAATAGGCGCTTAAAGGATTTATGAAAATGAGTAAAATAAAACGGCAAGCAATACATATAAAAACTTGTAAAATATGTAAGTCAATATTAAGCAAGATTCAAACACTTATATCCCATTTCCTTCATTAGATGAAATAACTCTAATTGGTACATTATGCACATGATGCGGTAGTTGTTTGTCCTATAAACATTAATAAATTCATTTTCGGTTCGTGCAGAAAATTGGAAAAAAATTTAAAAAAAGAATAAAAATTCTTTACCATTTCAGAAGATTTAAAGTTGGTTGGACGTTGCTCTATCATATTACCCAATTCAACATCACTTTGTCTGAATGCATATTTGCCAATAAGTCGTCTCTTATGTACAAACTCTTCTGGTACTTCACGGCGTTGAAAAACTTCAGCAATAAATAAAGCCTAAAAGAAGTTTTGTTAAATAAGAAATTTGTTGTTAAAACTACATTAATTATGCCAATCGCAGAACCGATAAGTACACCAACAAGAACATCTGACCAGTGATGTTTGTAATCACTCACCTGAAAAGACCAATATAAAAAATAAAATATATTTAAATGCCACTTTACTGTTATCTGCACAACTTTACTAACTAGATAGTATTATGTATGGATTATAGCTCATTCAAATGATAGCCGGGCTTACATTAGCTGAATGACCAAAATAAGCCATCGTGTAGCGAAGGTTATGCCCGGTCTACTCACTCTTGTCAGTTTTAACTATCCAACATCGCCGAATCAAGCAGTTTTGATGTCATTTGGCTCGATATAACATTAAATGGGCTATCAAACGTTTCCTATTTTTAGTTATAATACTATTCTAGTCTGTTAAAAAGTAGTGGCAGATAACAGCAAAATAATCTAAATACCCTGCTATAAGCAACGAAAGAAGCGCCACAAAAAAGAAAGAATTGAACAGCTGGGAGAACTAGTTGACTACCTAATGGTCGATAACAACGAGCTTGTAAATAAAGCTAAAAATATTATTAAAATGACAAAAGAATTTATTATTACCGATGTGTACCAGGCTGCATAAAATGAAAAGGCAGAATGTCCTGAATAAAAAGATAGTTGCGCTTCTTTAATTAAATCGACTTCTTTCCCACTACATTTGAAGTCAGTGATATAACTAAAAATAGAAACAAAAAAAAGTGAAAATTAGTACAAAAATTACGTATGCTCATCAGACGGACAATTTGTTCGAAAATCTTTGGACACTTTACTAATTTCTCCACCGATGCCATTCAGTTTTACCTCAGTAATAGGCAAACAAATTTCCATAAAGTGCGGCCGTTGGCGACCGATTGTGTACTAATTGAAAATAATTAGAAATAATTTATTAATTTCTCAACCTTTGCAATGTCCACCATTAGTTGATTGAAACAAACACCAAGTAGAAAATAACCTAAAAAATATTTATTAATAGGTGATATACATGTTTTTTTTCTTATTTTAGTTTTAGCAAAACAAATTTCATGTGAAAAAAGTCACAATCCAAACTTAGAACATAACAGAAAAATTACCCATGAAAACGTAAAGTCGAACAACCATTCTATGAACATTATGTGCTCTATATTTAAAAGTACATAATTGATGGGCAGATTGTTTTTCCCAAACCAAAGTACGAAGAATTTCTGTCAAGAAAATCTGTAAAATTCCTGTAAATATTTATAAGAATAAAACAAAAATTACCAGACAAGTAGGGATGAGAAGTCCAATAACAATTAGCAACTGACGACTAACAGTAGAAGTTCTATATGGGTACCTAATTGATTCGTCATCACAATAAAAACCACGTTTATTTGGCTCGCCCAATAATTCAAAAATCAAAAGAGGAACAGCTAAATCAATAAAAAAATATTAAGATTAAAATGTTAACAGCATGTTTAAACCTAAACAAAGTAGAACAATAAAATCAGAAATAACCCTTCCAATTGATAAATCCGCCACTATGGCCATATTTCAAATAAGATACTATCTAAAAGTTGATGCGGTCTTTGATAAAGTTAATTAACTAAAATTCATTTATTATAGAATTCGCTTGACAAATGAATGCACTTTCCGGGGGGATTCTAGATTTGGGCAATTTACATGTCAATCGAAAGAGCTCGACGAACTGATGTGAGTCGAATGAACCAAAACCAGCTCGATTGAATGATTTTGAAAGAAGTTGTGCCCAACTGAATCTTCGCTTAAGAAACTGTTTTTGTGTTGCTACGGAGGGTAGGCCGGACAAGGTCAACTCAACTCGTCGAGCTCTTTCGATTGACATATATTGTCAAATCTAAAATCCCTTTGGAAAATGCACTTTAGCCTAAAATTTGAAGGATACACCCGATCTGCCGCAAGATGTCATTGATTCATGGTGCGATTATTCATGGTGCGAACTTTGCGGACCCGAAATAAGTGGACACGAAATTTGCGGACATGTTTTTTGCGGACCAAAACTTTTAGGACTGACACTTGAGTAAAAAAATTTTTCGATGGCTTCGGCAGAGTATAACATGATTCCGTCCGGACTCAAGATTTTTTTCAGACTCAATTGTCGATCCGCGAATTTCTGTTACGAAAATCTCAGATCCGCAAAATTCGGATCCACAAGTTTCGAGTCCGCGCAGTCGTGTCCTTTAAATCCGAGTCCTAAAGTTCGGGTCCGAAAAATTCGAATCAGAAAAGTTCGGCGTGCCTATTATTCAAATATTGGTCACCCGAAAGTAGATATTGATGAGTTTTAAGGAGCTGCCATTATATTACGGAGGATATCAGGATTTGGAGGGATACCGTGAGATCTGGGCTCCAGATACAGAGCCGAAGTTTTTCTGAGCCGCTCCAGAATGGAAGAATTCAGAATCATTCAATGATTCTGAATTAGCGCTGCAGGCGAAAATTTTGAGTATTTCAAGGTTAATTTAATTTTTTAACCAAAAAGTCCTGTGTAAGTACGTACTTACAAATAAGTATATTTCCAGTTTTAGAAGTACGGAGGTGGATTTGTAAGTACTATACTTCAAAAAAAGTACGAACCTGTGATTATCTAATATGAATTCAATTTCGTTTTTCAGATAAATCCTTAAATAATCGTAATGTCTAATAATCCCAACGACAAATTTGCTATTATTAGTGTTGAATCAAAGCCTTTTGCAGGGCAAAAACCTGGTTTGATATTTTTTAAATCTTTATTGTATTATAATTAAAATTTAGGGACAAGTGGTCTACGTAAAAAGGTTTTTTCTTTTGGGTATAGATACACATAAAGATTAAAATTTATTTCTCAGGTTCCTGAGTTTCAGCAGCAGCATTATACCGAAAATTTCATTCAATGCGTACTTGATGGTGGCCTTGGTGCAAATAAGCGTGGTGCTATTTTAGTTGTTGGCGGTGATGGCCGTTTTCTATGTGCTCAAGCTGTCAATATCATCATAAAAATTGCAGCAGCTAATGGGGTTTTTTACAATTATGATATTTAAAGTTCTTATTTTCTTTTAGGTTTCAAAATTAATCATTGGTCGCGACGGGATTCTGAGTACTCCTGCAGTTTCCCATTTGATTAGAAAGAAAGACGATGGAAGACAAATAAATGGTTTTTATTGCTTGATTTGCATTTAATAATAATTTTTAGGTGGTATCATATTGACTGCTAGTCATAATCCTGGAGGTCCAAAAAATGATTTCGGCATTAAATTTAATTGTGAAAATGGTGGACCTGCACCTGATAATGTTTAGAATAATTATAATTTGAATAATTAAGTACTTTAAGGTTACTGAACGTATTTATGAATTAACTACAAAAATTAGCAAATATTATATTTGTCCGGAATTAAATATCGATTTCGGAGAAATTGGTACTTCAACAGTAATTATTCAAGATTTGGGACCGTTTACTATTCAAGTCATTGACAGTGTTAAAGACTATGCCGATTTGATGGAGGAAATATTTGATTTCCCCAAGGTTTGAATGTAGAGTAATAGCCTTTATTCTTTTTAGATTCGTTCATTCATTAGTGAAACATCTGGAGATGGCCGAAAATTCAACATTATTGTGGACTCGATGCATGGTGTTACTGGACCTTATGTTTCGAATATTTTTGTGGATCGTTTGGGTGCTCAATCTAATTGTTGCTTGCGTACCGTATCTAAACCTGATTTCGGAGGTATTCATGTATATTATTATTTACTATAATCTTTTAAGGAACTCATCCCGATCCAAATCTTACGTATGCAAAATGTCTTGTTGATAAAATGGCCGAGGGAAAAATCGATATCGGGGCTGCGTTTGATGGCGATGGAGTTTTTTTACTCTATTATTTTTTCTAAATTATATTTAGGACCGTAATATGATTTTGGGGAAGGGAGCTTTCTTTGTTACTCCAAGTGACTCACTGGCCATTATAGCTGCGAATTTGGATTGTATTCCTTATTTTAAAAGGACTGGCGTTAAAGGTTTTTCTTCTGAGAAATTTCATGATCTTGAGTATTTAATTTAACTGGAAGGGTATGCACGTTCAATGCCAACCGCTTGTGCTATAGATAAGGTGGCTAAATCGTTAGGACGTGAATGTTATGAAGTGCCCACTGGCTGGAAATATTTTGGGAACTTGATGGACGCAGGTAAATTGTCACTTTGTGGTGAAGAATCATTTGGTACTGGTTCAGATCATATTCGGTTTGTTTTCGTTTATATTTTAATTGAAAGTTTTTGAAAGCTCTCAATCTGAACCACTGTTCCTCCTTTCATCAAAGTAGGACCTCTTTATCACATATCTTAAGATTTTGCCCATTTCGTAGAATTTTAGTAACTTTAGACGAATAATACTTTGTTTTTGTCAATCCATCAGGCCCGTGTGTACATAATTCTTAAAAGTTTATTTGGCTGGAATTTCTTTAACTTTCCTGGGAAAAAATGAGTATGATAACATTTTTCTGATCATATTTAGTGAGAAGGATGGAATTTGGGCGTTTTTGGCTTGGTTACAGATTCTTGCCAAGAAGCGTCAGTCTGTCGAGGATATTGTTGTCGGACATTGGAAGGAATTTGGTAGAAATGTTTATACTAGGTATTATTAGAAATTTGGAATATAATTAGTTTGATTAGATACGATTATGAAAATGTTGAAGCGACCGGTGCAAATTTGATGATGAGCTATTTGGAACCACTTATACCTGGCTTTACTGGGATGAAGTTGAAAGCAAATGATCGTGAATTTGAAGTCATTGGAGGAGATAATTATGAATATAAGGACCCGATTGATGGGTCTATTGCTAAGAATCAGGTTCTTTTTTAACAAGTGAATTTAATCTTATTTTTATTTTTAGGGGCTTCGAATTTTTTTCAAAGATGGTTCACGTGTAATATTTCGCCTAAGTGGAACTGGTTCTTCGGGTGCCACCATCCGTCTAGTCTATTTTCTTATTAATTATAAAATTAATTTTACATTTAGTATGTTGAATCCTTTGTGGAAGCCTCCAACATTTATCAACTACAACTTCCTGCGCAGGAATTATTGAAACCTTTGGTTTTAGTTGCACTAGGCATTTGTAAAATGGAACAGTTCACTGGACGTACTCAGCCGACCGTGATTACCTAAATAAATAGAACGATTGACATAAAAGTTTATGGTTTAGATTAAACTGGATAGATAATTTCTTTACGTATAGAATTTTTTTAAATTTCTAATTAAGTTTATTTTAATACTACTATTATAATCCGACTCCTGGTTAAGCCTTTGTTCATGCCTATGATAATTTAATTTACACAACAAATAGCCTTTCTATATTTTGCCAAGTTTTTATATTTTATTAATCTATTAATTGTAATCTTTTATAAAGAATTTGTTATTTTTCTTTTTAAAATGATTGCATAAAATCATGTTTATATTTTAAATAACTAAGATTTTTGATTTTTAAACTAAATTTCCATTGCTAATTTTTGTTGAGAACTTTGAATAATTTGTGAGGAAACAATGATACGTTCTAGGCCAGGAAATGGTTTATTTGCTCGTTCAAGGTGTCCTTTTGATGATGAAGGGACGGTGTGTGAAAGGCCTTTCTGCCCTTTCTTTCATCCTTTCTCTGGGGGTAGGCGATTTAGAATTTATTTTTAAAATTTTCCACTTCAGCTTCAAAGCATTTGGTCAAAGTTAAAGAGGAAATTCAAGATGATGACATAATTGTTGTACATGAAAAGGTTGTTCCGTCATCATGGCCCTCATCGTCAACGGAATCTCATGTTGTGAGCAATACAGTAGAAACTCAACCTGTGGTATCTGAGACTTCGATGTTTCACAAAGAAAGTCCTGTTATAGGTAGGTTTGTTTCTATCAACCAGGACTGCACGCAGTTGAAAAAAATTCCTCAACTCGCAATTTCTTTTTAAAAATCCGCAATTGCGTGCAGCCCTGCTATCAAGACGTATTTGAGGATAGTTTCTTAAGCAAAGTGATCGTTGTTTATGATTTTTGCATAGGCACGGGATGCGCTTTAAGATTTTATACCCCAGAATTTCTTTTTCACGACTCATTTTTTATTGAGCTTTTAGATCAATATTCATGTGGCTATCTCGGTTATGTTGCACCTAATTCTACTGATTGTGAGACTAATAATGCTTCACCATCTGTTTATGCCAGTTCAGCTACTGTTAGTTTTAATATTACTATTTAAATTTGCATATTTTTAGGAACATATACAAGGATCTGAAAATCAATGCACTTCTTACTTACTACCGAAAATTCCTAATCTCTCCAATACATTGTCCACTGGTGAGAATATGTAATTATTGAAAAAAATTTTCCTCGTTTTTAGGAACGGAGCGTGATTCAGCACATAAGCCACATGATAAAAATCGAAAGAATAAACGAGTTATTTCAGGTAACTTTGTTACTTATTTTGTAAACTATTAAAATTATAAAAGCTCCGTCATATACACCAACGCCAATTGTTCAGCTTGAACGTGAAGAGGAAGAGAGAAAAAAACGTAGAGAATTAGCTGAACGTCAGAAAAATATCCGTGACCGACTTAAACAACAAGATTTTGTGAGATCAAGCCAAAAGAATGATGAAAAGGAAATTGCGGGCAAAAGTAATAAAGCTATTTTTAAATTAATTTTTGGGTAAAATTGAGGTTCGTATACCTCCTCATTTTTCTTTCCTCAATGTATTAAGGTCAGACTTTTCTTTTTTGCTTAACTTGTATGAGTTGCAGAGACAACTTGTTATATGTAAGTGTAGTGCCTAACTATCATTACGCAAATTCAGGATAGCCGTTACGAAAATTGTTATTTATTCGGTACTTCTTCGAAGGTACTCATGTGCTAACGAAGCAAATCTTTCTTTTTGTGGTTGAGAAAGAAAGAAAAGTCTGACCATTTTTTATACTTTGAGCAAAGCAAAATGAGTGAGAATATGAACTTCAATTTAACTAATTTTGTATAAAAAGATATTTCAGTTGATGCTAGTGATCCTATTGATCAAATTTTAGCTACACAAGAAAATTTTTTAAAAGATCAGCGGGACCAGAAACTCGAGGACTTAGCTAAAATGGAAATTGAGAGGAAAAAACATAAAGAAAGGCTAGAGAAACAGGATGAGTTGAAAAAGAAAAAAAAGTTTGTTTAAAATTAGTCTAAAAAATTTCTACAATTAAAAATATTTTTCGAATTAAGGGAATTAAATTAAAAAGCGGGGATACATGTTGCGGTCCAATACTTGCTGGCGTTCCTCCGAAAATTAAAGAAAAGGAAAAGAACCTTGGACATCAAGATCTCAAAGAAAAGGATAAAATCAATGCTAAATTAGATGAGGATGTTTGGCTTGGAAAAAGGAAAGCTGAAGAAGTTATGGAGGAACATGAAAAGAAATTGGAAAATTGGAAGGTGTTAAGATTGTTAAATTAAATTTTTTTTAAATAATTTAGGCAAAGACACAAACTTCGACTGAAAAATCTACAAAAGAGAATACTGTTATAGAAAATATTTTATCCACGAAAAGAAAACAACATTCTGATGCTGGTACTACAAATGGATTTGGAAATGCGAGTAAGAAGCTGGGGTTTTACAAAATTATGGATGGTGAAAAAAGAAAATCCAAATCTAAAGAGAAATGCGATTTTGGAATAAATGAGTAGGTTTAAATTAAATTTAATTAAAAAATTTTACTGAATATTCTTTTTAAAACTTAAATTTAAATAGAAATCTAAAAATTATTTCTGATATTGATAAATCAATCGGCGCTTTGGAAGAGGAACTCCGTCAATCAAGCAGTAAAACATCACAACCATCTTTCTCATCTTTTTGCAATAATAAATCCTTAAATATAAAGAAGAATGATGAAGGAAAAAAGAGGGTACCAATTTGGAGGGTAAGCTCTCGGAAACTTTTTACTTATTAAAAACTATCTATTCACAGCAGAAGAGCAATGCTCCAACTGATATTCGATTGGAGAATAAACTTAACAATGCGAGAAAATCTAGCGACGAAATAATTAATTCATTATTTGAGGGAGATGATTTACCAGTTGAGGTATTAAATTTAATTTCTCTTAAGTTTATTTTAAATTTATAGGGATCGACAACAAAGTCGAATAAATGTGATAACAAGAAACTTAAACTTGATTCGTAGGTTTTTTAATATTATATATTTATTAATATAGAATCCGGTAATTTAGCATTTAAGCTCATGAGAGTTTAGTTTTTTTAAATTTATTTAGTCCGTTCAAAGAAAAGTACTAGTTTGTTTGGTTAAATTATTTCCGAAATCTGTTTGATTTTGCTTTTTCGAATCTATCAGTTTATAATTTTTATTAAACTAATTTTAGGATAAGCCTCGTGCATAAGAGGCGAAGGACTTCGAGCAGTAGTGAAAGAAATAAAAAGAAATCAAAACAGGAAGATGAGGAGGTTTTTAACGAAAAATAAACTAAATAAATTTCTTTGTATTCTAGGATCAAGAAACTCGAAAAGAGAAACAAGCTTTGGTGGATCTCCTTTCAGATGATGATATCATTCCGCTTTCCTCTAGAATGGAAGATAATAATACTCAAAACAACGTGGACAAAGACAGGACAGCATCTAAGGAAAGAAACAAGTAAAAAAAACATAAAAAAACAAAAAAAAACATACATCATTTTTTTGATTATTTTTTTTCAAGTAGTATGTCAATCTCATCAAATAAAGCAATTTTCTCAAATCTGAGTGAACCACCGAAACTTTTAACGCCGACTGTCTCTATTGCTTCATCTTCTTCTATTTCTGTTGTTCCTGCTACTCCGTCTCCTGTAGCCTCACCATCTCATAAATCTTCATCTCAAGTTCAAAAAAATACATTTATCAAGGATATTCAAGATATGGCTAATTCAAAAGCGCTTGTTTCTAAAAAAGTTGCTCCAACTGCTCAAGTAAATTTTTTATATGTAAAATGTCAAAAAATATTTTATAGGAACAATTACATTCACGAACTTTATTATCTATTAACCAATCATCTGATCCTGCCCACAAGGTATATGCTGAATTACGGAAAAATGTTTCAACAGAAAGCTCATCTAAACCTAATAATTTTCAACGAAAATTGGTTAATCTAATTAATTCATTAAAAAATCTTTTTTTTTTAATTTAGCAATCATCTTCTAGTAACAGCACTCATTTTAATAATAGTACTTGCCAATCGTCAATTCCATTAACTGTTTCATCGAATCTCAACTCTAGTCTCCCAACTTCAAAGCAGACTTTTCCATCTACTTTAAAAAAAGGAGAGCAAAGGAAGGCACATTTGGTAAATTATTAATATGTAAATTTTTACAATCGTTTTTAGAGTATTCCATCAAAAACTGAACAACAAAAGCTCGTTCCTTTAGATCCAAATAATCGAAAGGTTGCACTCCAACTTCGCCAGACAAAACTTAAAATAATTCATGCAGAATATGTCAAAATTTGTGTGAATGATCCAAAAATGGCTATTGAGAGTGTAATTTTTATTAAACATATATAAATTAAAATATTTTTATTTTTAAGGCACAGCATGAAGAAAAAGAAGTTCTTGATCGTTGTTCTACTAAAATTGGTTATATATCCGCAATACCAAATGTCGTTAAACGATTGCGAAACTTTGTTGCTAATAATGAGAATGCACGAAAAGGCTCAGGTTTTTAGAACTAAAATTCTTTAATTAAAAAATAATTTTATAGATTCCATCTCTCATCAAAATGTTTTATTAGGTCGTCATGCTGATTCAGTTACAGTTGGATTGCAAAAGGCAAAGCGTGTTGCTCAACATAAAGCTTCGCATCTCAGTGAATCTGAGTAAATTATTTAATTTTTCAATAGATTATTAACATTCAATTTTTAGTTTCTACAACGAATTGGAAGTATATATACTTTCTGATGATCAGCTTTGGGAGAATGGCTATCCAAGATGGACTACATTAACCCAAGAAATCGATGACGATTTTGTATCTAAATTTCAAAACTATAATTTTAAATATTTTTAGGATTCATCTGATGAAAGGCCTAGAAATATTGTTGAAATCCGACAATCTGAATTGGATTCATCTAAGGGTCACAGCAAGTCGTTCATATCTGATGATGGTAGAATATTTTATTAATATATAATATGTAGATTTTTTAATACAATTTAGATTTAAAACGTGTTTGCTCTCGCTGCGGAATTGAATATCAATTAAGGCCAAACGGGGACTATGTCTCCTCTGAGGAATGTATCTATCATTGGGGACGAGCTTGGAAGAAAAAGAGTAAGTTTTATTTTATTTAAAAAAATCTTTGTTCAGTTCAAGGTGTTGTTGAAGCTCGATATACTTGCTGCCAATCTACTTTAGATGTTCGTGGATGCGTTGTTGCTGGAAGGCATATAACACAAACTTTGAGACTTAGTACTTTGGAACAATATGTGAGTACACCAAAACCCTATGGAGTAGGAGATCCTAGATCTACAAAAGTAATAAATGATTAAAAATATTTAACAAAAAATGAGCATTTAGGTTTATGCAATGGATTGTGAAATGGTTTATTCAAATTGGGGACCAGAAGTCGCTCGGTAAGTTAAAAAAAGTTCATTTGATTCTCAACATAAACTTTCAGTGTTTCTGTTGTTGACGTTCTTGGAGAATTAGTTATGGATGTATTTGTTCGGCCAGAAAATACTTTAATTGACTGCAATACTAGATTTAGTGGATTAAATGCCGATCAAATTCTCCACGCCGAATGCAATTTGGATAAGGTAAATAATCTGTCTAATTGTAAGAGATTTATTATTTATTAATTAAAGGCACGCGAACGCTTATTTGAATTGATCAACTCTGAAACAATTTTAATAGGACATTCACTTGAAAGTGATTTGCGTGCATTACGTCTTGTACATACTCGCGTTGTGGATACTAGGTAGGTGGAAGATATGAAAAATATTTTTATTTGATGCAATTGTTTCTATTTCAGCATTGTTTTTCCTCATCGACTTGGCCCTCCGCAAAAGAGAGCACTTAAAACATTAGCTTCTGAAATTCTTCAAATTATCATTCAAGAGGAAGGTGAAAATCTTATATTTTATTTTTGTATTCTTTTCGAATTATAGAAGGTGGTCACGACAGTAAAGAAGATGCATTGGCCTGCATGAGAATTATGTTGAGGAAAGTACGTGCTGTAGAATGCTGACGAATACAAAAATTTCTTTTCTTCGTTTAAATTTTATTATAATTAAATAGAATGATGTGTAACACTCAAAAAAATTTATAGATCTTTTTGCATATTGTTTTAATTTTGTCATTTTAAGCTTTTAATTTGTCATATTTTGTCCCAAGATGATCTTTTTTGATTATTTTAGAAGAATAATTATGTTATACTTTATTAGTTCTATATAATGAGAGAATTTTATATGTACTTTAACAGGATTAATCTTTTCCTCCATATTTTTAAAGGGCTTTTGAACATTCAAGCTTCACGACTAACAAATATTGAGTCCTCGCGGCAGTTGAAGTGTTTCTTAAAATGTAGATATTTATCCAAAAAATATACGCATCTAAAAACCCTTAACACTCGATAGAAAAGAGAAGTAGGTTGTTTCGCCTGTAGTTTCACCTATGCTCGGTTGGGAAGGATTTTCTCGTCGTAGTAATGTTCTAAATCCATTTTCACCTGTTGCTTCATATTCGATTATTTGCCAGTTTCTCAATCTGTTTAATTTCAAAGTATTGAAAACTGGTTCTAACATCTATTTAGAAATGAAGACTTACTCCGGGTCAACGATTAGCTTTGCCCGAGTATGATCTAACCCAAGAGTATGAGCTGCAATTGATGCACTTGCCATAGAATTACTTAAATAATATATGTACATATTAAAATTGCCATCAACTTTGTCCTCACACGTTATTTGGCGCCATTAGACAAAGTTGTCGAACTGTGCCTTTAAAATTTTATTTTTTATACACATTCTTTCATTAACTTGCCATCATAAAGAACTTTAGGGCTATTAGTTTTTTTGCATTCTTCACAAAATGAATGCAAGACTTTTAGTTCAGATGACGAATCACTACTCAATTCTGCCAATTGTAGTGCATTTGGGTGTAGCATTGTTGTTATTGAGAGAGTCTGACAAATATGTACATTTATAATTAATAGACTAAACTTGAATAACGGGCACGGTTCAATTTTTCCCGATATTCAATGTCGATATTTAAATACCGACTGACGCCTCGGTCGGTCTCTATTAACTACATCTAAGTAAAATATTTTTTGACACATTTTTTTATTATATTAATATCTTGCAAATTAAATTAATTTTACTTTTAAAACACCAAAATCAGCCATTTTCTGTATATCTCTGGATCCCCAAAGTGCTCCAGAAGGTATAAATACAGAATGATTATCTTCTTGTCGTCGAGTTGCTTTAAAATTTATATGTTTTAGTGTGGTCGTGTTTGATTATAAACAGTCGGATTATGATAATATAGAAGCCTGGGGAATAGCTCATCTAGTCCATAACTCCTCCGACTGATACAGGTTGGCACCTTCTACTTTGGATAAAGTGTTATTCTTTCATTAAATCTCTTACAATCCCGAAAATAAAGTTTTCTTCATTTAATTTAAGTTTTCTTCATTTAATTTAAAATTTTGTTTACATTAAAGCAAAAATTGGGGACTTTGAAAATAAATATATACCCATGTATGTACATTACCTGCCTTTATATCATTATAAGTTTTTTCAACAGCTAAAGCAGTCACAGAACCTATCTATATTAATTATATAATTACTAAATGTTTTTAACATATTATTTCTTCATTACTAAAAGAATAAACTTAACAAAAAGATCGGCGTGTTTAAGAATTGTGTTTGCATAATTGTGAATAATATCAGGATGTGAGACCTTTAAATATAAATTTAAAAAAGATTAAAATTGTAAATTAATTATTTAAAACACCTCAATAATTAAATCAATGTCTTTCAAATTTTCTTCATTTAATTCACTCAAAGGCAAAACACCTTCATTAGAATCCTCAGTTCTATTCCAAATTTTTTGTAATAAGAATTCTGGTGATTTACTTAATTCTATTTTAAGGAATTGACCTTTAAATAAATAAAATTTTTAATTTTTAAAAATATAATTTGAATATTTAACTATACAATTTATTCATAATATTCATTAATTTAATTCATTACTTTCAGAAAATTTAAAAATATAAACACCTACCTAAACGTCCAAATCCAATAATTCCTATTCTTTTTTGATTATTTTGTTTTTGTTGTTGACTCTTAAAAGAATTAGTAAATATTTCTTCTTCTTCACTTGGATTTTCTGTTGAAGTTACCATTTAATTAATTCTATTTTTTAAAATAATTTTGTTAAAAAATTTTTTTACAAATTAAAAAATTAATTGAATAAAACAAAATATATGTATACCGTATTTCCTATATTAGAGCCCCATGGGGCTCTATTTTTCAACTATCCTCCAAGGTGGGGCTGTATTAAAGGGTGGGGCTCTAATTGAGGGTGGGGCTCTATTTTTCAACCCTCTTTTGAGATAGAATCCCATTTATTATATCCATTGCAACTAGAGATAGGCCGGAGGGGTTGGTTGATAAAACCAAAAAATATCGAAAGACAATCGATATTTTTCAATTTTTCAAAAAAATTAAAATTTTATAAGCAATGAGTAACGAAATAATCGCAATAGTTCAATGAGGGTAAGATTAATTATAAAATATTTGTAGATTTTGACGGATTAAAGGGAATATTAGGGGACTTGTATTTGACATTGATGGATCATATATAGGTATACAAGCGATTTTAAGGGATTATGGGGAATATCAGAGGATTAATTTTATATTGAGAGATTTAGCGGGGTTAAGAGTGATATTTTGAATGAGGTATTAGTAGGCATATGAAGGGATTTTTTTGTGAAGAGGGATATCGGTGATATAAGGGATATCTATCGGGGATAAAAGGAATACCCACTATATCTCTTCCTTTTCCCCTTAGTTAATCCCTCATATTTCCCTTAATCCTTATATCCCCATGGCCCTTTATTTCCTTAACTCTTAATAATCTTAAAAATTATTGGGATATTTTTTATTTTTCCTCCAATATTTTTAGGTGGGGCTGTATTAGGGGTGGGGCTCTAATTGAGGGTGGGGCTCTATTTTTCAACTACCCTCCAAAGTGGGGCTGTATTAAAGGGTGGGGCTCTAACAGAGGGTGGGGCTCTAATATAGGAAATACGGTATATTAATAATCAAAAATTTATTTTATTAAACAAACGCAAAAATTAAATAGAACACACGAGGAGGAATTTAAATTAAAAATACATAAATAATTTCATAATCACAATAATTGTTTTCACACAAAAAAATTAGTTAAAATTTAAGTAAAGAATAGCTGAGTTATCTAATAATCTCGTTAACTACAGATTTTTATGATTGCTTATCGAATAAATAAAAATAAATTAGAGTTTAAAATAATATTATATTAAATTTAAAAATTAATTTTTATTTATTTTTTGAAATAATAATATTTCGCCACCAGAAAGTATTCCAAGTTTACCAGCTCTTACAATTTTATCAATTGTTCCGGAAAGGAAAATTTTATAAAAATTATTAAAGCCTGAAGGTAAAACATGTAAAAATTGTGCTAAATTAATTAATTGTTCAATTAATGATGATCTAAATAAATAAATAAAAATAAACTATAAATTTCTTTTAATTTAATACCTAATCATCCACATAAATATTTTTGAATGACTAAAACAATAATAAAATGGTTTGCCTACTTTCTTGTCCTAAAAGTAATTATATATAATTTATATATATTAAATATTATATTTACTAAATCAATAGCTTTAATCAACACAAAATTAGCATTACTAGCTTCTTTTATTATTTCATTACGAGAATGTAAAGGGGGCATTCCACATGACATTTCAAGTTCAGAAAGTAATTTTCTTTAAATAAAATTTGATAAAAATTAATAACTTTTGTGGAGGTAATTTGAGTGAAAATGCTAAAAATGTGAGCCTATATACTTTTGTGAAACCAGACAAAGTGTGGAAACTTCAAAATTTCTGATTGTTTTTGTTCCTTATTTAGTTTATCATTTAATCTTTATTTGATCTCATTATCTTAAATATGAATAAAGTTATGCCAAAAATACCCGGTTACTTTTTGGTTACCCTGTAGCTGTAAAATATAGAAAAGGTCCCTCCTCCCTCCCTATTTAAATATTAAATATCCTCTAAAAATACCAACCGATGCTCAACATTATTTTCATTATATTTATCAGTTTTCAATAAATCATATACCAATAAAAGCCCTTCAGGTTTCAATACTCTATCAAGTTCTGAAAATATTACTTCAAGTTTAGGTAAATATTTAAGTGAATATATTGCATAAGCAGCATCTTGACTGTTTTTAGATAATGGAATATCTAAAAAAGTTGTATTTTTGAATTTAATTTTATAATTTATCTTTCTTCACTTTTAGAACAATTTGCTTGTAAAAGTTGACATTTTTTGTTAATTCCTAGTTTTTTAAATATTTTATTTCCAATATCCACCTAAAATTAAATTAATATTTCATTTTTTAATTAAAAAATATGCCTCATCGGGAGAAATTGTTAAACCAATAAATTGAGCTCCCGTAAAAGCCAAATGTTCAATTACATTTCCAATTCCACAACCAATGTCTAAGCATTTTGTTTTATTATTTAATTGAAGACTTAAATAATTTTTTTGAAAAAATGATTTTTAAATAGTCTTTTTCTATTTTTGTTAACATTTCAAACTACTCCCTTTTTAAGAAGAAACTTTTTTTAATTGTGGACTTATTTTTTTGTTAACATTTCCACACTACTCCCCCCTCTAATTATTTTAATATATGAAAGGTTATTTTTATTAAAATTTATTTTTATTTAAATAATTATTACCAACCATTCACCAATTAATAAATGTAATTCTTTTAAAGAATTTGATATTGAATTCCCACTATATTTTGTTGTTTTTATAAAATTATTTGTTTCAAATAAATTAAATGTTTGTTGATTTTGTGAAGGTAATGGAGGCACAAAATGAAAACTTTTACAAAAATATTTCTCAATAAGCTTTTAAATTTATTAAAAATTTAATAAAAAATTTCAAAAAATAATTACTTTAGACATAATTGAATAATAATGGGCAATACATGGCCCATAATCTCCGTTTTGTTTAGCATCGGCATAAAGACGAAAATGTATTTCCGTAAAAGAAGTCTGTAAACAAAAATGTAAAAAATTATTTAAATTTAAATTATAATGATTATTTAAACATTAATTAAAATATTCTTAAGTGTTATAATTTAATGTGAAGAGGCTACTAATTTTAAATGTTTTAAATAAAGATCTTTATTTATTTTTTAAAGTTTTATTTTTAAATTAAATTTAAAAAATATCAGGTATTAAAAGAATTTTTCATTAGAACAAATCGATTTACAATAAATAAATAAATTTATTTAAAAAGGGAGAGACTTTTACAATGCATGAGCAAATGATTTCGGCTGACTGTGAACGTGTAGACTGTCATTTAATGTTTTTATTTACCTACATATATTGATTTGAACGTAAATATTTAGGAAAATGTATGTATCAGAGGGGGTCGAAAAAAAACCCCGGAGATGCCGAAAATTTATAAATAATATGAACATAAATATGTATATAATTTGTTATTTTTTGTAATTTTAAATATTAAAAAAATTATTAACAGTTGCTAAGTAACAAATCTTTGTAAATAATGAAGTAAAAATATCTTTTTTTCAGATAAATTATTTAAAAAATATGTATATGTTTATATTTTAATTTTTTAAAAATAAATATACCAAATCATTTTGACGAAAATTTAAAAGAATTTTTAAAAGTTGATAATTTATTGACATTATAAAATATAAAATAATTTAAATTAGATTTTATTTTTTTAATTTTTTTTTTGGATTTTTACATAAAATGGAAGGATTGCCGATTAAACGATTATTATTTATTTTTATATACAATGACCGATCTCTACAAAATTTAAAAACACTCATCATTTATTTTTTAATACAAATTTATTGCATATCCTCAAAGTTTTCATAAAATTATTTATATTTATTTTCTTTTGAAAATGGGTCATTAATAACGATCAGATTTTAAATACGGTAAAAAGAAACTTTAAATATTTTATATTTATTAAAGAAACCTAATAAATAATTTAATTATTTTAATATTTTAATGAATCACAAAAATTTTATATATTAATATTTTGTAAAGTATATGTATGTATGTATCATTTTATTTTCAATAAAATATTAAACAATAAATAAATATAAAAAAGTTAATTAAAGTAAAGAATGCTTGTTGTAATAATTAAAAGTTTAACAAAAATAGTAACTACCTAAATTTAAAATTATTATTTAAAAAAAGTAAAATTTAATTTCATCTTTAAATGAAAAATAATTTTTATTTTATTATTATTTTTGTGAATTTTTTAATTTTAAATAATATTTTTGCAAATAATGATAATAAGGTTTGAAATAAATAGTTTAAATATTTAATATAAATTATTAGGAAATAAATATTAATTTGCCTGTGACAATCAAAAAATTTCCTTTAAGTTTCAAATATGGACCTTCAAATAAAACAATTATTGTTTCGGTAAGAAAATTTAAAATAAAAATAATTATTTAATTAAATTTAAATTTTGTTTATTTAAAAACTTGAAATCAATTTAGAAAAGAAAATCTCTTAATAAAATTTTTATTTTTTAATTATAATTTTTTAAAAATTTTTTAAGGAAGTGGATGTTAGCAAAGGAAATGTAATTGAAGGAAAAAAATTTGAAAAAATACATTAAATATTTATTTAATGAATGAATAATTTTTAAATTTAAATATATATAATTTGTAAAAAAATTTTTAAACAAACTTTCTCTTAAAGGAATTTATCTCACGAGTAAGATTTTAAAAATTAAAATAATCCATAAGGGGTTGAAAATATTTTTTTAATTTGAGAAACTCTGCTTTACGTTTATTTTCATCGTATCAAGATCACAACACCGAAAGAAAATATGTGCCTAACTCTTTTGAGTTTTTCCTTATTAAATAAGAAATGTTTGCTTGAATTTCTATAAATTTTTCCTATTTTTATTTCAAAATAAGAATAAAGTGTTTCCATACGTTTGCACCAGTCAAAATAAGGGAAGTAAATTTAAAAATTAATTTTTTATTTTGATAACGAGCTTTTAAACTTTAATAAAAATTTACAAATTTTAAAATTTATTGATCAGATAAAATTATTGACCTTTAAAATATCAAAGAAAATAATTACATAAAAATTAAAATAATCACAGAAATACCATAACACAATATTTTTAAATTCAACTTTTAATTCTTTCGTTGTACTAAAATAAATAAAAAAATATGTATATTAAATTACTAAATTTAAATATTTTACAATTATTGTTTTTTGCCGCAGCTTCTTTGCAAGCATCACATTTACAGTCTAACGGATGAGGAGAATCTTTACTATTTTCGTCCTTTGTTTTTGATTGTTGAAGTGGATTTCTTCCTGCCAATCAAATTTTAAATTTTTATATTTAAATGTTTGTATATATTTTTAACAAGTAAATATTTACCAAATTGTTGCTGTAATCCTAAAACATCTTTTTGTAAAGGAGGTGAACGAGTACTTCCAAAATTTATTAAAATCAAAAAAATTAAAATTAAAAAAACAATTTTTGTTTTCATCATTTTATAAAAATTTAAATTAGTAAATGAAAAAGGAATTTAAATTTAAATGAGATTTGAGAAGCTTTTATACATATAAAAATGAGAAAATTTGGAAATTTTTGGGAAATTAAACAAAAAGAATTTTGGATATTATTTTTGTTATCATTTTACGAAAAAAATAAAATTTATTTATCTAAAATTGAAAAAAAATTAGATAACAAAAGGGACAAACAATAGCTTTTATTTGATGACATTGTTGATATGAAAGGATATTTTTAGTTAGTTTTTTTGTATTGTGTGATGAATTTATTATTTTTATTTAAATAATAAAATTGAAATAAAAATTCTTTTTTTTAATTGATATATTAAATGTATTTTTTTATTTTTTGTGTTGACTGACCAGTGGATAAATTATGCATATTTGTTTAAAAAAATTAGAGATTTTTTTGTAAATTATTTTAAATTACCTAATTAATTTGTTTATAATTTGAAAATAAAAATATTTATTCATAAAATATATTTACAAAAATTATTATAAATAAAAAAAATTAAATTTCAGAAGGCGCTTGATTGAGATTATTTTCTTGATTTTTTGTTGATTCATCTATTAATTCATCCTTGCTTTTTGAATTTGAAAATAAAATTAATTTTAATCTTCTCCAACATTTTTTTATAAAAATTAAAATTAAATAGGTTAAAATTCCAAGAATAATAATAACCAGTAATTGAGTAAATACTAAAGTAACAGCTAAATAACCCTTCTTTAAATTAAAAAAAAATATTTTTTTAAATTATTTTGAATAAAAAAACTTGAAAAAATAGCCAACAAAAAAAAGTTATAGCCAAACAGATTGGCAAAATAACAATCCAAGTTTGTGAATTAAAATTTAAAAAAGAAGTAACTGTTAAACCATTATTTTGATGACTTGTTGTTGCAAAACTATTTCCACCTCCAACCACTAAAAAAGAGGCAGACATTTTAAATTGTAGAGAGAATTAATATAAAATTATTTTAAAGAAATAATTTTGAATTTCATTAAATAAATTTTAATTAAAAAATCTTAAAATAAAGAATATAAGCAATTAAATTTTAAAAAATTAAAGATTAATTCCGTTAAAGTTTTTAGTAAAAATTATTAACAAGAAAACTTTAAGACGAAATAAAAAATATATTAAAATATGTAGTATGTTGTCATTAAATAAGATTAGAAATAAATATAGTAAATTTGTAAAAAAGTCTTCAATTTAGGGGTATAGTAAAATAAATCATTTTTAATTTTAAATCTCAGTTATTTTAATAAAAATTTAAGCTTCTATTTTAAATATTTTATTTTAGAAAAATTACAATTAAAAAATAAATATTTATAATTTACCCATGTTTTAAAATCCTCAATTTATCATGTTTATCTTATTATAAACTTCGAAAAAGAAGAGTATCTAACGTTAATTTATTTTTAAAATTTATCCAAAAAGAAAAATTAATTAAAAAATAATTTTAAAAAATCAAATGAAAAAATTATTGATTTAAAAATTGAACATCTTTTAAAAGTTTTTTCTGCTAGATAATTATTTTTGAACAAAAAGAATTTTTTCTTATTTAAAACAATGGATTTATTTTAAAATATTTAGATATAGACAACAAATGGGGATTGCTATCTATTTAAAAAATGGAAAATTAGCTAGGAAAAGAAAGAGAAAAATATTAAAAGTTTATTAAGGATAAGCAATTTTTTGCCAAATTGAATGATAAAAATTAAAAGTTTTTAAATAGTTGCTATAAGTATTAGACAAATATTTTTTAATGTTAAATTTAATAAATTTAAAATAAAATTTAAACACGTAAATTTCTTTTCATTTTTAAAATATTAATGACTTCAATATTTCACAAAATAATGAGAAAAAAGGAAAAAAAGATGTGTGGAAAATAAATGTACATAGTAGTTAAAACAAAAATCTATTAATTATTGACAAATGCCATTTTATGTTTATACTTAAAGATTTTTTGTTGGCATTATTGGTATGTATATGAATACATTTTCTCATTCATTAATAATTAGCACCCCCTATTCATTTATATATCCTTTCAAATGTTAAGTATACATATTTATTTTTAATTAATTAGTTGATTATCTTCTATTTTCATTAAAAATCCTTAAGGGAAATAGATAAAATATTAATTATTATTTTTATTTAAAAAACTGAATAAGAACATATAATAATTATTTAGAATGAGGGAGTAATAAAAAGGAAAAAATATTTAAAAAAATATTCTTATTTGTAAATAAAAAGTTGTTGGAGGTTATTTGCGAAAGTGTACATAAAACGAGTCTAAAGAATTTGCTTAAATAAATTTTAAATTGTGTAAAATGTTGAAGGAATGGAGGTATTTTAGGTTCAATTTAACAGACTTAATACTCTAAAAATTAAAAAAAAATCGAAAATTAAATTAAAATAATTTTAAGACATAAATGGACTTTGTTCAAACACTTACCAAAAAAATAATTTAAAAATAAATTAAATTTTAAGTAAAAATATAAAATTAAATTTTGTGAGAGTTCTTTAACAATTTTAATTATAATAAAATGAATTAGAAATAATAAAATATAAAATTCAAAAAGAATAACCAACTAATCCTTATTAAATCCCCAAATTTCTCTTTCAATGGCAAATTGAATTTTTAATAGAAAATAAATACAAGTATATTCTAAATAATTATTGTTCTCCTATTTTAAAGTAATATTTCTCGTTATTTGACCTTGAAGCGACGCGGCGCAATGATTGTTTGCCAGTTACATATATCCATCTATATTTATATATCCACATTGTTTTCTGCTCTTATATTTCGAAAAATTAATAATTAAAATTTTTAAAAAAATTTTATTCACATGTACATTTAATAAAAAGCTCTGATTATTTTTTGTCATCTAGTAAGATAAAGTGATTTAATAAATTTGAGAGGAATTTTTAATTATTTTGTTTAATTATTTTGACTGTTAAAATATAATTAAAAGGATTAAATACAAATTTAGTTTTTTTGATTTAAAAAATATTTATTAAATGTCAACAAAAATATTAAATAATTTTATTGAACAAGAATCGACAGAAATTATTAAAGAAATACTTCCAAATATTTCTTCAATTTTAACTTATTTAATTAATGAAAGTAGTACTCCTGAAATTTTTAATAAATGCATTGGGTCAGATGAAAAATTAACAAATTCTTTATTAAATATTTTAAAAAATGGAAATCAACAATTATTAATTAATTTTTATAATGCTTTAATTAATTGCGGAAATTTGTTTTGTTTTTGTAAATTTCTTAAAATTCATTTGGTTGATATGTTGAGGTAATACAATAATCATTAAATAAACAATTTAAAAAATTTTTTCGAATATTTTCAGATTTGAAAAATTATTTAAATTAAATAATTTATTATTACATCCTTTTACAATTTCTCTCCCTCCATTTGAAAATCAGGTATTTTGTAATATTTTTAAATTGAATATAATCTTTAAATTTATTTTAGATTAATTTAGAAATTAAAATTGAATTTGTAAAGAAACATTTCAAAATATTAAAATTGAATTTAAAGGATGTTTATGCAATTCTAGATCAATTAAATAATTGGGGAATTTTTAAATATTTAAATATAGAAAATTTTGATGTTAGCGAAAATGAATTTTTAATTACAATTTTAACAGCAAAAGAACAGGCAAATTATACTTATGATTGTTTTTGTTTAACGTTAATAATTACAAAACAATTTAAATTGTTTAGGTAAAATAATTATTTTTCTAAATAATTTATTTAAATTTTTAAAGTATTTTCTATGAATTAGCTAATTTAAAATGGTTAGAATTAGTTTGGAAAATGTTTTTATTTGAATGTTTTGAAAAACAAAATGAACAAATAAATGAAAATTTTAAAGAAAAATCTAAAGAAATAATATTAAATGATTTATTTAAAGTTGAAAATGTTGATTCAGGCTCTAGTAATGATATAATAACATATTATAAATCTCACAAAAATGAAGTAATATTATTTTTGTTTTTTAAAATTAATTAGTTTTTTTTAAATAAATATCATTCTTAGTAATATTTGGGATCTAACTTCAACTTTATTTGTCTTTAAAAAATAAATACAAACAATTATTAATTTAATATTTTAGATTTATCGAAATTTTTCTACACCTAGAGGACTAGCTTTAATTATAAATAATTATCAATTTATAAATAAACAGAATAGGGAAGGAACACAAGTTGATGAATTTAGTTTATGTAATCTTTTTAAACAACTTGGGTATAAAATAATTTGTGAAAGAGATTTAACTGCTCGGGTTATTTTAAAAAATAAAATAAATAAATATTTAAATATAAATTTAGCAAATGTGGATTACAATTCAAAAATTTGCTGAAAGGGAGGAACATTTACAATGTGATAGTGCTATTGTGGTATTTTGTTTATTAAAAAATATTTTTTATAATTAAAAAGGTTGTAATGAGCCATGGAGTGTTTGATCATTTATTAGGCATTGATGAAATGCCTGTCAACTTCCATTCTTTTGTGTCCTGTCTTAACTCAAAAAATGCACCAAAATTAATAGGAAAACCAAAAATATTTATAGTCCAGGCATGTAGAGGAGGTTTTTTTTGAAATAAATTTATTTAAAAATAAATATTTTTAAAGAAAATTATGATGAGGGTGTTGAACATATAACAGAGGAGTGTGTAGATGGCCCATCATTTTCTCCTTTATTTTCGATTTTTTCTAAATATATTAAACCTAACAATAATAACAACAACAATAATAATCCTTTAAATGCTTCTTCAATATTTAGAAATGCCCCCTCACCAAATTCTCAAAATTATTTTAATGAAAGTAGAGGTAAAAAACAAAATAAGAATTATAATTATATATTTATTTTTTAAAGTTCAAAAGAGACTAAAAATAGAAAAAGTGCCAACATTTGCAGATATTTTAATAGCTTCTGCCACAACTTCAAACAACGTTTCTTGGCGTAATTCAGCTACTGGTACTTGGTAGGTTTTAATAAATTTTTTAAAATTTTTTTAAAGAAAAAAGATTATACATACAATTTTAGTTCTAAATAAAAATATTCAATAAAATGTATAAAAAACTATTCTGAGGACTTTCTGAAATTTGAAACAAATTTAATTTAAATCTAAAAACATTAATTAATTCAAATTATTTTTAAAGGTTTATTCAAACATTATGTGAAGTATTTAGTAAAAGAGCAAAAACTGATGATATTTTAAAAATGCTAACTTATGTTAAAAGTGAAGTTGCTAAAAAAGTGTCAAATTCTGGTGGAAAATATAAACAAGTATTTTTTGTTTAAAATTAATTTAAATAATAAATATATTTATTTAAAGGTACCAGAAACTCTATCAACACTTTGTAAACATTTTTTCTTCTTTCCGGGAGTAACAAATAAAGAAATTTAATTTCAAGCGTAAATTAATTTTATTTTACAAAAATTGTTGAGAATTTTTTGTTAAATATTTTAATCATTTTAGTCTCCTTAAAAATAATATTTTAATATTTTTGATTATTTCCGCCTTTCAATCTTTTTGTATAGAATTTGCCTCTGTTTTTGAAATAATTTAATAAAATATTTTTGTCAATTTTTACAATTTTCTGTATTTTTAAGTAAAATTTCATATATCTAAATAAATATTATTAATCAAGTTTAAGCATAATATGTAGATATTACAAAAAAAAACAAAAGTTAACTTTTTTTATGATGAGCTCAAAAATACTAATGTGTCTTAAAAGTGCGTTCAAATTGCTCAGTCAAAAGATTTTTTGTCTTTTTTATTTATATTTTAATCTTAAATATTTTTAGCCATAAATTTTGAATAATTTTTGATAAATTTTAAAAGTATTTGATAGAATAATTTATTTCATAAAAATCATCCTTTATATTTTATTTATTGCTTTTAAAATATGAATGATCATTTAAAAAATATTAAAAAATTTTTTTTCAAATTATTCCGAAATTTAAAATTATTTATTTTAAATTTAAAATCAAAAAATGAGAATTATTAGCGAATTATTATTAATAATTATTATTTTAATATCAACATTAAATAAAATTAAAGCCTATGATGGTCCAGCAATTGTAAATTAATTTTATAAAATTTTAAATAAATAAATATAAATAATTCAAAAGTGCCCACAAAATTATTATTTTCCGCATATTTGCTGTTGCCCTCAAGGCACTTTGGCAGGCTGGATTAGTCGAAATCAACCATGGTGTTCATTGCCAGGAATGAACCGGCATTTTGTTCAGGCGTAATTTAAAATAAATAAATTTTTAATTTCTAAATATTTAAGACAAATTTCAACATATCCACAGTCTTGTCCAAATTATTTTGTTCCTCCTCCAAATCAAAATTTCTATAATTTTCCTCAACACCAAAGAAGCCTGTCTCCTTACATTTTGCCACAACAATTTTCTGGACAAGTAAATCCACCTCTTCCTCCTCCTCCTCTTCCACAACCACTTCCATACCAACTACCTCCCCCACAACAACCTCCATATCCTCAAAATCCCCAAGGACCTTTACAACTCCCAATTGAGAATCAACCATTATCTTCACCTCAAATTCAATTAGAATCCTCTAAAAACAATCAAAATCCCCCATCTAATCTTTTAATTAAACCGTCTCAGTCAAATGATAACCAACCAATTTATAATAATAATCAACAACCTTTGTTACAACAACAAACTCAAAGTATTTAATTTTTAAAATAACATCCATAAACTTTATTTGATTAATTTTATAAATTTATTTTTAGCTAAAAGAACAATAAAAACATTACCAACAAACAATGAAAGTAATGGGAAAATTAAACAAGATCAGAATCAAAACCCACAACAAGAAAGAATAGTAATTGAGAAATGGGAAGATAATTAAAATAAATAAATAAATTTATTGAAAATATTTAAAATAAATTTTTTGTTTGAATTAAAGTTGAAATAAAAATTTTATTTTCTTTTTTTGAAAAATTAAAACTTTAAATTTTTATTTAATCAAAATATATTTATTTTAAATTTAATTTTTAATCTAAAAAATTATTTTCTTTTTAAATAAATTATTTCAACATACAAGAAAAAAACAAACAGTTGGCACATCAAAAGAATTTGAGAGGGATTTTTATGTTTAATCATCTAAACTTTTATTTTACTTGGATCATTAAATATGCGTTGCCAATCAATTAAAATTGTTGAATTTATTTAATAAATATATATTTACTATATAATATTTTTATAAAAAGATTAAAGAATAATTAGATATATTTACATAGGTATTTGAAAGAAATTTCGATTTTTAATTTAATAATAAATTAAATAAATAATTAAATTTTTTAAATTATTTTTAGAAATAAATTAAATAAATTATCATATTTATTTTAATATATTCTATGGCTAGCAAAAAATATCCTCGACTTAATTCAGCTGGAAATGCTGAAGTATCTCTCAATTATTGGCCATATTTCCCAAAATCACCTATACACCAACACAATGCAACATATGAATATTATAAAGTTTTGAAAATAAATAAGAGAAAATATTTTTTGTTTAATTTAAGCAAGGCTCAATGTATCAATGGTTTTTAAGATCAGCAGCCCAGCAATGCCCAAAAAGTAATCGTTCAGGATATTATTATTATTGCCCATATACTGGACAACATGAACGCTCTGTTTATCGGTATTAATAAAGAAAGGTAATAAATAACTAGTTTTTTATTTAAAAACAGTAAAATAAATTTAACAATTAATTTTATAGAAAATATGTAAATGGCTGGAATTATTCAAAAGAATATCTATAAATTTATATCAAACATTAGAATTTAAATATATAATATTTTAATATTTAATTTTTATTTTTAGTTAATAAAATTTTTTTATAATTTTTAAACTTTTTTCAAATTAAAATATCAAATCTAATAAATAAATTATTTTTCTTGAAATATATTTTAAATTTAATGTATATATTAAGAAATTTATTTTTTTTAATTTTTAATCAGCCGGTTTTCATCAAAGAATAAATATCAATTAATATATTTAAAAAATGTTTGGAATTTATTAACTCTTTCTTAAAACACTCCCTAAAATAAAAGTTATTTTAGGAAAGTTTAAAAAATAATTTTTTTAATTAAATATTTAATTTAACAAAATTTTAAATATTAATTAGAAATTAAACGTCATTCATTACCTTCATCTGCCATACAGACATTCTGTCAAACATCCGATCATTAATTATATACAAAAATGTTTTGTACATTCAAGGCCTTCTAATTAAAAAATTTTTTAAAATTTCCTTTTTAATTTGTCAATCTCAAATAAAAAATAATGCTGTAATAAAAAAAGATTTTTGGGTGTCAACTAATACCATTAACGCGCATCTTTATTTTGTGACGTTTTAAACTTTTTACACAAATTGAGGGAACAGATATGTAGACGAAACAAAAGTAGAAAATGAGAGAAAACACATAAATAAATTTTGTTTAAATTAAAAGGCGGGATTACTCTTTCACAAAAATTCCAAAAAAACATTGGAATTACTCATCAAGAATTTCTACGAAAATTTAGATGACTTGCTATATAAAGAAGACATTAATGAGAGCATCTTTAATGTAAAAATTAATCTGTTCAATTATTGTTAGTTATGAATCGTTCAATTTTTGTTTTATTTGTTTTTGCTGCTATTTGGTTTGTCCCAGCTGAATTTGCTGAAGATAAAGTTGGAGAGGATGATAATAAATCCATGACAAAATTGTTAATTATTTTATTGAATTTTTTAAAATTAAATTTAATAAATTTAGACGTAGTAGAAGATATGGTGGATGTAGTTCCTGTGCAACTAGTAAGATTGGATTTTTTAAATTAATTTATTTTATTAAATTTTCTTTAATAATTTAAGCATGTAGCACTTGCGGAATAAGTGGTGAATTTAATATTAAAAATAATCTTAAATTAAACATTATATAAACAAATATTCCTTTAAAGGATACTCTACATATTCAAGCAGTAGTTATCCAAGTTATTCCGCCTCTAGCGGAAATAGTTATATTCCCAGTAGTGGAGGTGGTTGCTCATCTTGTGGAAGTGGGGGGAATTATGGGGGTAGTGGAAGTGGAAGTAGTTGGTGGTGGAAATCATCATCTGGATCTTCATCACCAAGTTTTCTTCTCTAAATTAAAATTATTTTAATATTAAATTAAAAGGTTTTGGATCTGGAGGAGGTGGTTTTGCACCAAATTACGCACCAAGCTCTGGAGGAGGAGGGGGTTGTGGAGGAGGTGGATGTGGCTCTGGGGGAGGAGGGTGTGGAGGAGGTGGTTGTGGTAGTGGAGGAACTGTCCACACTGTCCATACATATACTTATCCTGCATCATCTGGTGGTGGAAATTATGGATATGGAGGGGGCTGTAATGTTTGTGGGAAGAAGAAATAAATGGAAATACATATGCGGAACTATTATTCATCGAATTAAATCGATATTTTCCGAAAAATGAAATTTTATAATAAATTTTTGATAAATATTTAGGTTTAAATCTTTGAAGTTAACATAAGAAAATAAATTTTATTTCCAACAACAAATAAAATATTTTAATTAATTTAACAATTATTTTATTTTAATTTCTTCTCTTCGTTTTTTTCCAAATTCATTTTCGTCCTGGATCATCAATTGGACCAGGTTTCGGTTTTTGAAGAACAGGAGCCGGATTAAAATCTCCATAGTCTTTAGCATTTGAAAATTTTAAAATAAAAAAAATAATAACCAAAATAATTATTAAATTTAAAGAAAATATTAAATTAATCTTCATTTCTTAAATTATTTAGAAAAAAATTTAGAGATAAATTTATTTACTTTGATTGAAAATAAAATTTATAAAATTGTGTTTTTAACTTTTGAATAATTTTTCTTTTAAATTTAAAGCAAATATTTAGGTAAATATATAAAATTTTTATTTATTTAATTCAACTTTTTGTTAAAAAATAAAAATTAAAAAATGAAAAGAAAATAATTCAAAAAAGGAAAATAATGCTTGGCTTTCTATTTATTTATAAATTTTCAAAAAAAAATAAAAAGTAACATTTGATTAACAAAAATAGAATATAAAATTGTTTAGCTAAAAATGTAAAAAAAAATAATAAAATATTAAAATTTATTTTAGCAAACAATCAAATTAAAAAAAAGATTTGAAAGTTTGAGAGAAATATATAAAATATAAACAAACTAAACACTAATAGATTAATTTAAAACTTATTTAAAGAATAGTTTTAGAAAATAATTGGGGATTTTTGGTTAAATAAATAAATTAATTAACATTTAATTAAAGGAAAGAAAAGATTGAGGAAGAAAGATTTTAAAGCTTCTATATAAATTTCAGATTAATTGGAAAATCAGAACTTTAAAAACAGAAAAAAAACTAGATGAAGTTATGGTTACTTAATAAACTATAATTATTAAAGGAAAATTAAAAGAATTTTTATTAATAATTTAAATAAAAACTAAATGATTATTCTGCATTTCATCTTGACAATTATTTATTTATCCAACTTACTATTACCATTTTTTTTAAATATTCAAAACTTTTTCTCTTTGTTTTAAATAATCATTAGCTGTAATTCTTTTCTTATTTTTTTGATTCACTTCCTTCCACAATTCACTTCTTTTCCTTTTTATTGACTTTCCACTAATTTTTAACGAATTTTCCCCAAGTTTTTGAAATTTTTTAATTAATATTTTTCGTTTCCAAGTTTTTTGTTTTCTTTTAATATTTTTATTATTTTTAATTTTATAGAAATAATTTAAAAGTTTTGAAATTAATTTAAATAAATTATTATTTTTTAATTCTTCATTAGGTATTAAATAATAATTATTAATTAAAATTTTTAAGCCAAAATTATTATTTAAATCTTCAAAAAGTAAAATAAAATTATTTTGTAAATTTATTTCTCTCTCTAAATATTCTTCTTCATTTTCTGCTTCTATAGGTGACAAAATGAATTTTAATAAGGAAATGTTAGCATCAATAGCTAATTTTGCTAAATTAAAGAATTGCGTATTTTGTGAATTAATTGTTTCAAACATTTTAATATCTTTATCATTTTTCTCTATTTTCATCTCTTCAATTTGTTCAACTATAAATATTAATTAATTAAAATTTTTGATTCAAAAACTGAAAATCTTAGGTCAAGACGGCGAATTCCCAAATTTCCATAAATTCTTTCTTTATTCTATTTGTTATTTTTATATTTTTTATATCAAAAATAAATACAAAAATTTGTCAGACAAAAAAATATTTAAAATAAATAAACTCACCCAATTTTTCTTCATTTATTTTTTGTTCAATTTCATTCATTTCTTTATTCAATTCTTTATCCAATTCATTAATTTCATCAAAAAAAGGAATATCATTTTTTGTTGGAAGAAAACGTTCTTTCTCAAAATAAAAATTAATTACTTCCCCAACAAGTTGAAGTGCTTCTCCAAATTTAACCATTTTTAAATCATTCTGGTTAATTTGACAATAAATTAATTTGTCATTAATTAATTGAATATTTCCTTTAGCCATTTCATTTCCAATAATTTTTTCTAATTCATTTTCATTTAAATTTTTCAATTTTAATTCATTATCTATTATTTGTTTCTTCAAATCATCTAATCCTACTTCCTTCAATTTTGAGCGCAAAAATATATAATCATTATCTACATCTTCCTTTACTTTCTTTCCGTCTACATATATATTTTTTAAAATTTATTTTCTTAAGAGAATCTCCCGGAACCACAAAAAATCTGGACCGTCTAGAAGCAAAACAGCAGAACTGTTCGATTTTTTTAAAATCGGGATGCTAGGTGTCTTACTATTTTGATTTAAAAAATCTGACTTTTAGAATTTCTAGTAGGTTAATTCAATTTATTAAAATATTACCTGTAAAATATTTCCACAAAGCACCATGCAAATATCTTGCACAAAAGAGAATACCTTGTATTAATATAACAGATCTCTCAATATCCTTTACTAAATATTCTTCTCCTTCTTTTTTAAACGTCGAAATTATTTTTTGACATTTTTCAATTCTATCATTAGTAATTATCATTTTACTGTCATTATCCACCTTTCGATTAATATATAAATCTAAAGTTTCCCCTAATTTATTAAATTCATTCATAAAATTCTGACGAGAAATTTTTTCAAATGTTGCATCATTTTTTGACAAAAATATAATTAAAAAACTCAAAATAATAATATTATTCATTTTCTAATTTTTATTTTTGAATTAAAAAAAAGAAGACGGGATTTTGTAATTAAATTGCTATAAGAATTAATTTCTTCTTATATTTATAAACAATTTTTTGCACTTTTTGTTTATATAATAATAAAATTATTATTGGGAAATATGTATGTATATGTATAGACAGTCTGTAAAAATAAATTTATTCAATTTCCGATTGATTATACATTAAAGAGAAACCCCGAAAATTTGTCAGAAAAACAAAATAGTCTTTCAAAATAAAAAAATATTAAATAAGAAATTGTTTGCACTTTTAAATTAAAAATAATTGTTTTGCTAAATACAAAAGTTATTTATATTTAATTATTTAAATATTAAAAGTTAGCGAATTCAATGTATCAAAAAAAAAATATTTAAAAATTTCCAGAAATTCTCTAGGAGCCGCCAACTTTAAATTATACAATTTTTATAAACTAAAATTTAAAGAATTTTTTAAAGTAAAATATCATTATAATCAACAAAATTATTTAAAGTATTAACTTCTGATTTATTAAACTTTCCTCTTTCAATTTCATTAAAATCTAAACTTTCATTCATTGCCAACATATTTACTCTAGCATAAGTAAGTCGACTAGCACGAATTAATTCTGGCCGATAAATTAAATTATTTTCATTATTTTCTTCTTCAAATAAAGGTTTAATTACTTGACAAAATTTCTTTTAAAAAATTATTTATTTAAATAAGAAAATATTTTTAATTAATTAATTACTTCATTAATTGTTTGTCCTCTTGCTTTAATTAACATATAAATTCCAACTAATGGAATTGCTGAAACAGAGGAAAGTGCAAAAATAATTCCGATTAAATTAGCTATTGGGGGGTAAATATAATCTTGATATTGTAAAGGTTGTAAATTAATAAAACTCGAAATAATCATTGCCTAAAAAGAATTATTTAAATTAATTTAAATTAATTAACAATAAGAAAAATAGGTGCTCCAATTGTCCAACAAATTCTATTAAATATTTAAATAAATATAATAATTTAACATCTATATTTACCTCCAATAATAACCAGGCTTAAATCCAAGCATTTTTTGAATGTCAGAACAGAAACGTTTAATACCTTTATTTAGAAATTAAATTTAAAAATTTCTTTTAAATAACCATAAATAAAGGAAATAACAGCAGTCTCACAAAAAACAGCTATTAAAAGTCCCCATGTTGTGCTGTAAACAATAAGCCATTCCATTACTAACATTCCCCCCTAAATTAATTTTTAAATTATTTTTTTTCTTTCAAGTCCCTACTTTTGTACACATTGTTATTCCAATTAACATATAAAAAGAGAAAAGAATTGCAACAAAAATTTCTCTATTTCGCTTAATTATTGGGAATTCATCACTTAAACCAGTAATTATTGCTTCTGAACCTCCAAACTTTAAAAAATAAAAAAAATATTTTTATATATTTTTATTTTATTTACCGAACTATCTAATCCCAATGTAAGTAACATTAGAAAAAATATTAAAGACCAAATAGTTGCCCCAGGCATTGTAGCTAATGCCTCTGGATATACAACAAAAACAAGACTTTTAAAGAAACGTTAAAAATTAATTATATTTATTTACCCAGGACCTTCTTGGGCAACATCATTTATAGGCTTTCCACTTTTACAAGACATATAGCCAAGGACAGAGAAAATTACAAAACCAGCCAAAAAACTTTTTTTTAATTATTTAATATATTTTAATTTATTTAATAATTGCCTTGTTGCACAATTTATTGTACTTGTTAATAATGCATCAAAATATACATTATTATGAAATTGATTATAAGAAGAATAAGCCTTTAATTAATTTTAAAATAATTTTATTTTTTATACTTTATATTTTAGGGTTGGACAAGACCGGTTTTAAACAAAATGAGTGATTTTTAAAAAATTTCCCTAAAATAAAACCGGTATTTGAAAAAATAAAACCTCGAAAATCGGGTTTTTCAAATTTGGATTAACCTAAAACCGGAGGTACCGTTAATAACCGATTCTGTCCAACTCCTATTTTATACCATAAGTACACCAAAGCCAGGACCGAGAGAGAAAAATACCTTTTAAAAAATTAATTAAAAAATTTTTTTTGAAAAGCACTTGTGTAGCAGCATCTTGCCAAACAGAAGGATTCCATAACATATCCAAATTTGGTCTCAAATAATATTCAATACCTTTAGAAGCCCCTAAATTAATTAATTTTCAAAAAAACATTTTTTTATTATTTTACCAGGTAAAGTAATTCCACGAATTAACAAACAAAATAAAACAACATAGGGGAATATTGCTGTAAACCAAACAACCTTTTTTTTAAAAAAATAATTAAAGTTTAATATCAGAACAAACTTTTCCAGACATTTTAATTCCCTTCCAAAGAGAAAAATAACAAATTAAATAAACTATTAAAAGACAAAAAACAATTCCCCAATTAATAGAATTAAATTTATCAATATTTTGTGAAATATGTGGAGTTGATTCTTTTATTTGATGTAATCCAAGAAAATATTTACTAAAAAAATATTAAAAATTTTTTTAAGTTAAAGAATATTTATTTTTAACTAAAAATATTCTTCGGCAGCAGATATTGGCTTTGTTTGATTATTTCCATTAATTTCTTTTTGTGGAACACATTTATTAGAAGAAGGATCACTCCAACTATTTGGTTCATAACAATCTGGAGAATTATCTAGAATATTTTCCTTTAAAAATCTTAGAAATAAGTAAATACAATCATTAGAACATTTAGTCCAAGGTAAATGTTCTGTTGTAAATGAAGAAAAGAAATAATGTAAAGCATATGCAATAATTACATTATAGAAAAAATCTGTGTAAAATGCTGTCATTATTACGCAATAACCTATTCCTATATGTAAAAATAATTTCTTTTAATTATTTTTTTTTGTTTTTTACCTTTAAATAAAGGGCATATTCTCCCCCAAGTAGTAATTGCTCCTTTTCTGTGATATTGTCCAAGTGCTAATTCCATATAAAAAAGTGGAATACCTTCATTTTTAATTAAATTTAAAGTTAATTTATTTTTTTTTTAAATTAAATTTTACCTGCTAATAAAACCATCATTGTATATGGAATCAAAAAAGCGCCTATTTAATATTTAAAAAATATTTTTTAAATGAAATATTTATAAAACCTCCCCCATTTTTAAAACATAAATATGGAAATCGCCAAACATTAGCTAAATCAACAGCAAAGCCAACAACGGAAAGGAGGAAATCAATTTTTCTTTCTATTTAATTTTAAATATTTATTTTGTTATAAATCTCCTAATTATAGAATATCAGGGATGGGCCCTGCCGCATTTTAAAAAAGCGGAAGACGAAAGGCGAAAGGAAGCAAAAAGGATTCCACTTCCACCTTCTGCGGAAGGTGGAAGTGGAACAAAGCCCATTCCTGTTCTTTGTATATCTCTTAGTTAAATTATATTAATTAACCCCATGTTTCACGCTCTCCTGTATGATTTATTATACCATTATCATCATCATTATCTTCTTCATCATCATCTCCCCCTTCATTTTTTAAATCATCAAAACTTTCCGCAAATTTATTTTGCTTTTGCAATTTTTTATTTTTTAAATTTAATTCTTTATTATCAATTATTTTTTCATTAAAATTTTTAAATTTCCTTTTTGAATTTTGTCTTTTTTTGTTTGGAATTGAAGAAATATCATTTAATGTTTCGGCTGTTTTTTGAGAATAACTAAATAATTATTTTTAAATTATAACTAAAAAATATTTACCTAAATTTATCTTCATCTGGTGAAATTGTATCTGGGAATTTTGTTGTAAGATAAGTTGGGGAATTACCAGGGGAATAATCTACAATAGACATAACATTTTGATGAGTTATTTGAATACGATTCTGCTAAAAATTATTAAATAATTAAATAAAAAATTGTTTTAGAATTTTTTATGGATTGTGCACAATCTATTAAATTTTAGGGGTTTTTTAAATTTAAATATATTTTTCTTAAAATAACATTTTTTTGGTCAAAAATAATTGAAGAACTTGATGCCATTTTTTGCTGTCGCTTTGATTTTGTTTGACTTTTAAAGCAATAATCAACATTTTCTGACTTTGGTGCTTCTTTATAAAAAATTTTTTTAAATTTAATTTTAAAAATGATTATTTATCTAACCAATTTTTAATTGTTTTGCCGCCTTCATTCTAGGTGAAGATTTAATATAGAAATGCCCAAAATGTATTAAAGTGGAGATATCTTGTTCTTGATAACGAGTAACAATTGCTTCTTTTGGGAATTTGTTAGTCTGTTTTTTCTTTTGATTTTCGCTAATTTTTAATTATTAAATAATTGGACAAGAATATTTTTAAATAATTTACTAACCAAAAATCTTCTGATTTTAATTCAGAATTTTCCTCCAATTGTTTATCTGAACATTCCAAGGGCAATTCACTGCTCAACATAAGATTTTAAAAAAAAATTATTAGACTGCCTATTATTCTGAATCTTTTCTCAAATTTTTCCTTTAAAAATAATAAAAGGAAGTCGACAATTTTGTCTTATAAATTATGTTTATTTGGACATAATAAATGAACAGATTTGCTTGGATATAAAATATTATAAGTATACTTTAAATAAGTATACATACATAAATATTTTTTGACAGGAAAAGCCCAATCATTTTAAAATTTTAAATTGTATTTTTCAGATTATTGAACTATTAAAATTTTTTAAAAAATTCTATCAGAAAATAGTAGTAAAGATAGTAAAGATAAATATAAATAGTAGATTACCATAGACAATAAAGATAAACCCGTTCGAACTTAAAAGTATTATTATTTCGGGATATTATTTATTTCGGGATAACTCATTCAATCCAAATGATCTCGTTCAGGCGCGCCGAAATAGCTTACACTTCGCATATCAAAATCTTAGCCTTGAATCTAGGCAAATTTTTATCAAAAAAATTTTGCTCAAACATTGAGATAAGATTAATCCGACTTACTAAATTATAAAATTTAAAGGCGCTTTTGATATCAGTAAATTTCTTAAGATCTTGGGATTAAGATAAAAAAAGAATTAGTGATTAATGTTGGTTTGACGCGAGATTGGTAAAGTGCTGGAGAATTTGCCTCAACCTGTATAATTTTATTTATAAATTATTAACCAACATAGTACATAATTAACATAAAATAACAATTTTATTCTATTTTAATTTTTAATTTAAAAAAATATTTAAATTTAAGGAACTATTAAATTAATAATTATTTATTATTTATTAATTCCTTTTTTGCCCTTTTTCTTTAATTTATTTCCTCCAATCGGTCTAGCCATTCCAATCATATTCCCCTCGATACCAAAGCTTATGGCAAAACAATTTTGTGTGTGATAATCTAATGATGTCCATGCACCAAACCATGTATGATGTTGAAATAAAGAAAGACATCTATCTTCATACCACTTCAAATACAGAATTTTTTAAAGAATATTTTTACTTAAACAAATTTTTGTTAAATAATTTACTTCAATAGAATATTCTTCAGGAGGTATTGCCCATTCTGCCCTATGTGTTTTATTTCCCATTGTAAGCACAATTAAAGGCATATCAATTCCGTTACAAGGAATATATTGTATATAATCCTGCCAATATTCTAATTTTCCACCTAATTGTTTATTTATTTCATTAACTGTTTCAATATCACTAAATAAATAAATTAAATAAATTTTCATAAAATTTATTTAATTACCCATATATATGACTTTCATAATTCCCTAATTCATCATTAACTAATCTAGTAAATTCAATATCTGTTTTAGAAGGTAAAATCCAACGAACAAAACTTCCATTTTTATATTTTAATTCAATTGACAACAAACGAGTATGATATCCATCTTTTTTGGATTCATCAATTTCAGCACTCGTTGAAGGGAAATAAATGTAATTTTTAGAACGACAATGCCCCTCAATTTCTGAAGAACCTATTTTCATATGATATTCAACATTATTCATTGTATCTCCATCACTATTTATAAATTAAAAATATTTCTCTCAAAAATAAATATTTAAATATACGTAAGAACGCTAAATACAGCTTTATCTAAAATTGGAGCTAATTGTTTCAAAGTTGAAGGAATTCCATTTGAAGAATCAAAAAGGGCTAATCCAAACATTCCCTCAATATCAGAATCTTTCCAATCCATACATTGCTGTATTGTTACATTTTGTATTAAACCAAATTTTAGAGGAAGGACTAAAGTATCACCTAACTAAATATGTAAAAATAATAATTAAAAATATATTACAAACAAAAACATTCAATGCTAATTGATATTTTTATCAAAAAAGGTTAAACGCGTTCTGTGGCTTTGATGTATAGAATTATTTTAAAAACTTTTTACATTTTAACTTTTTAGAAATCTAGTCAATTTAAAAATCTTTAAGTACTTTATGTATTTTATATGAAATAAATATGGAAATTTAAATTAACTACCAACCGTAACGAGGTCCTTTCCAATAACACCTTTGTTATGATTATCACAATTAAGAACATATGGAATTTTAGAGGTTCCAAAAAGTGAGTCTTCAAAAATCTCTCCATTAGAGCTATATGTATATGATTTACTTAAATAAATAAATTGAATATATTTAAGTACGTTAAATTAATTTACGTCTTATCAAATGTTAGAAAATTATCCCAAGTAACACTGCCACTTTGAGCTACAAAAGTATCTGGTGAGCGTGTCGAGAAAGCAACGATAAAATCTTGTGCTTAATTTGTTTTGATTTTTTGAAATAATTTTTAATTTATTTTATTTTAAAAATAAAATTATTTAAAAAATTAGAAATATCCCAAAATTATCAAAGATGATATTTGATTATAGAAATTTATTCAAAGTAAATATGTATAGATCTGTGAATTATAGACTTATGTCTCAACCTAATGGCAATTGATTTAGGAAGCCTTAACTTTAAAAATTGCCACATAAATTTTGTTAATTTCCAAAATATATTTAAATTATTACGAGGAATTCCCAATTTAATTGTTCCTTGTGGATTAAGCCAAGTTCGGTAATAATAACGATCTTCTGTAATATCTATATCATCAATTTCGGCAGATTCCCCTTCGTTTCCATTTAAAACATTTTTTGCCGATTCATTTAAAAATCCAAAATGTTTAATGCTTTTATGCCATTTATTTAATATATTTTTTTGTTTTGGTTTTAATGGGTGAATATTAACATTAAATACTGCTGATTCGAATATTGAAAAAAAATTAATTAAAATAATTAATGTAATTGGGAAATACGAAAATAAATACATTCTGAAAATTCTTATAATTATTTTAATTAAAAAAAATATTTTATCAAAAAATAATGAAAATTAATAAATTAAATTCTTTGTAATAAAAATAAAATTTTATATGTATTTTCAAAAATTTTATATGAATAATGAAGGAGTGGCTAAAATTTACTGATAAATATATTTTATTATTTATCTAGTACAATTAAAATTGAATATAAAAATTGAAATTTTTATTGAAATTGATTTGGAAAAATTAATAAAATATAAAATATATTATTAAAATACTCATTGTATACTTTAGAATCAAATATTCTTGATTGATAAAGGAATGTTTCTAACCGTTACTATCTATATTTTTTAATTAAATTGAAGAATAATTTTAATGAAATATTTAGATAAAAAATTTTTCGAAAATTGTTTATTTCAACAAAATTATTAAAAATATTTAAGTGAATTCTTTTAAAAAAAATTTTATCAAAAAAAGTGGAATGATAATAAAAAAAATCTTTTTTCTATTATTTAATTACAAAAATTAATTTAATTTAGTTTAAAAATAATTTAATAAATATTAGAATAATTTCAATAAAAAGAACATATTTAATCCATTCATTTATTCGAATAATCCAATCTTCAGAAATTGTTGGTAAAAAATCTTTGATAACCTTTAAATAAATAAATAATTAAATATTTTAATTTAATTTTAAAAAAAACTTTTGGAAAAAATCTTTCTGTGAATTTTTGCGAATTTTCATTTAAATTAAATAATTCTGATTGTTGTTTTTGTATTTTAGAAATTTGATATTCATACCAAATTCTATAAACAAATAAAAGGAAAAATTCAAAAAAAAGAAAACGCGAAAAGCGAACTTTAAATTAAATATTTTGTTTAAAAAATAATTTAAAATTAACTGCAAAAAGGTTCGGAATTAAAATCTTGAGGAAGAAGTTTTGACATTCTAAGGTTTTGTAATTGTAAAAGTGCTAAACAAAAAAATAACCAAAGTAGTGAAAGTTGGATAGATTGTACAAAAATAGAAATAAAAGACATTCTAAATTATAATAAAATAAAAAATAAAATTAATTAAACATACACAGAAATACAAAAAAGTGGAAGTGAAACTGTAGCTGTATAAAGACCATTATTTTTACGTTTTAGACGAATTTGATATCGTAAAACAGTGTTTGTTAATGATGAATATAGATCAGCCCTTTTTTAAATTTTTTCATTAAAAAATATTTATTTAAAAATTAATTAATTACTCGCTTTGATTAGATGTAAATCCTTTAGAATAAGCAAAGAAACGTTGAGAATTTAATGATTCAAGCTCAAATCCACTAGTTATTGTCATTTTATTTTCATTTCCAAAAAGGGAATGTTTAGTTAACATTGTTGAAGAAGCAGTAAATGTTACTCTTTTTTAAATTAATTTATTTAAAATATAATAATTTAAAAATGCCTGGCTGTTTGATATATAGGAGTAAATACCATTACAAAACAAGTCTAAATTGGAGAATATTTATATTTTTTATTTTAAATATCTTTTTCAAAAAACTTGATTATCATTAGGATAATTAGTTAAATCTAATCGACATGCAGCTTTAATACTTATACTCATTTCTGCAAAAATATATCCTTGATATGTTAACTAAATAATTTAAATATTTTAATTTGTGACAAAATAATTTACTGTATATGCAGTATTGTGAAACATTGCCAACTCTTTTGAAGGCATTGTTCTACAAAAGAAAATGATTTAAAAATTAATTAGAATAATAAATAATTTAATAATCATAGCTTGAGACATTCAGGATTGCTAGTTGATCCTGAGTTCCTGAGTATCTCTAATTATAACTTACAATCCTTTAACAGTAACACCTGGAGACCAAAAGCGACTCAAATCAAAGCCAGTAAATGATAATTTGTCCAACTGACCAAAATCCCTAGGTTCCCACGCCAAACGTTCATCCAGCCAATTCTTTTAGATTTTAATTTATTCAAAATAATTAATTAAAAATATTTTTATATTCTAACTAAAATAAGTGTTCCATGAAATGTAATTGATTGTTGAAATTCATTCTAAAAGAATATATTTGTATAAAATTTTTTTAAAACTAATTACCATGTCTTCGATGTGATCAACCATTAAATAACTAACAATCTTTTAATTTAAGTTAAAATATATATTAACAAAATATTAAACCTCAACAGGTCCCCCATTACTAGGTATTGGCGGAGATTCTCTTTCGTAATGTGAAAATAATTTTGGGACCAATTCTTGAATTTGTCTTTTTTTAAATAAGAAAATTTTTTAATAAACTTTCAAAAACCTATTAATTTTACTCATATCCCTGTCTAACTCGTCAGGAGCTAATGGCAATGAAAGAAGGGAAAAAAGATTTAAAACTGTTGATATACCACGATCTGCACTGCTAATTCCCATATTAAATATTTTTTTGAAAAATTAAAATTATTTTAAATAAAAAAATGTATTTATTTAGTCGAATGTTTATATTAAATTAATACATAAAATTAAAGAGCGGAGGCATATTAACGTTTTCTTCTCTATTATTTTTCAAAATAAACAAATGCGTCCAAATAAAAAAGCGATTTGGCAAACTCACAATTTTTAAACAATTATTTAAATATTTAATACATAAAGGGATGTGATAGAGAAAAAGTTAAAAATACAAAAAGTTTAATTTAAAAGTACATATATAAGCACTGTTTGTACATATTGCAACTTTTTTCTAATATGATACAAACATTAATTAAATTAATTAATTAGTTTAGCTTATTAGCTTAAAAACAATATTATTATAATATTTATTTTAAAAAGCTTTTACATTTGTTTAAAATATAAAAATATTTTGCACACTTTATCACAATAATATTTGTCAATATTATTTTAAGAAGCAACTTTTGATGTTTATCTAAAGATTTTTAAAATCATTACTGAAATTAAAATTTAATTCTTTCAAGCAGATATAGTTGTCAAAATTTAAAAAATAATGTCAAAAAAAATATTAAATTTTCATCCCTCGTATGTGCCAAACATTTGCAACCGTTTACATATTACAAAGGTCTCTGTAGATTTAAACAATAATTACCCAAAGTGTAATTATTCGAGTGTTTTCTTATATATAAATATTTTTTCATTGATTTAATTATTATTTCTTCCATTCTTCTTTGAACAAACAAATTTACGAGAAGAAAGAAATTGCTAAAAATTGACCAATGTTTGTAGAATGCGCGTAGAACAATTTGACTACATATATTGACAAATCCAAGAAAAGAATCAGAAAGAGAGGAGAGACTGTAAATAAACAAGGAAAATAGAAAATAATATAAAAAATTAAATTCGGACATTCGGGAAATTTTTGTGAAAGGTAGACAAATAATAAAAGAAGCATTGAATGTTTGCCTGTATATTTCTTTATATTTATATTTTACTTTAATTTTTCCTTATTTTATTTTAAAAATTTAGTAAAATATTATTAATTTAATGAAGAAATGAATATTTCAAAATTTAGTTACTTAAAATTATAATTACCAAAAATTATATGTAATCTGCTGATATTTGTTAAACCTCTGTATTTTTTTCCATTTAAGATGCCTTTAGAAAAAAGAAGAAATGCTCTTTCATTTAATTCAATAAATAATCAACTAGTAAATAATAATAAAATATTAACAAAATCATATAAAGAATTAAATAATATTTTAAATGATTGTCCACAATCAGAAGAAGAATTCCCAACAATTTCTTCAACATCTGTTAGAATTTAAATAAAATTATTAAAATAAAAAATTAAAACTTTAAGGGAAATTTTGGATTAAATTTTGTTGGGCATTGTTATTCACCTAATAATTTTAATTATTACAATAATTCTACTCCCCCATTTCCATTAATTCATTCAACAAGTGTAGCTAATTTACAAAAATCTTTACAAACAAAAAACTTAATTAATAATCAAATACCTCAAATTCTAAAAATTTCTTTTCCTTTATTTAATTCTTCTTTACCTTCCTTTTCTTATCAAAATTTACCGTCTTCGTCCGGATTTCAAATAGAAGAAGAGGTTAATTAAATATTTAGAAAATAAAATATTAATTTAAGGAAACATTAATTCAACAAAAAACTCGATTATTTAATTATAAACAAGAGAATTACCCTTATAATCAAGAAAAAGCAATTATTGAAGCAATTTTAACTTCTCCTCAGGCTTTAGTAATTTCTGGACTTTTACCGAGAAATATATTAGGTACTAAATATATCAATTTTTTAAGTACTTTCTTTAAAATTAATAGTTAATTTTACATTTTGGATAATTATTTTAAATAAAAATATTGATAGATTACTATTTTTTAAATTATTTTTAAATATAACAATTAAAGAGGATGCCCAATTCTGGGATCAATGGCTTTGCCAGTTATCTACTTCCCTTAACACTACACAATGGCAAACCTTCTGGCATCAATATGTATCTATTTTTGGTTTCAAAGCTTTACCTAGACATTTGCTGCAATTCTTTGAAAATTTTTCTTTTAATGAATTTAGTGAAGTAATTAAATAAATAATATTTTTAAATAAAAGTGAAAAAAATTTTAGAAGGAAAAAGTTTTTGAGGGAAACAACAATTTATTACAATTAAATTGTGGTCAACAACAATCAACTATAAGTGGGCAATTAAATGGTTTTATATATGGAATTCTTTGTAAGTATTTTAAATATTTCTATATATATACATTTGTAAATAATCCTCACTAATAACACGAAATTAAAAAAAATTATTGTTTAATTTTATTTTCTTAAGAGAATTTTACTTGGATTGAAAAGCTTTTCTCTTATAAAAACAATTAATTATTATTTAATATTTTATTCATTTTTTAACAATTTAATATTCTATAGGTATCTATAAATTTAATCTATAAATTTAATCTTTTTAATCATTTAAAATTTGTAAATATTTATTTTTTATATTTTATCAACGTTAATTGGACCAAATATTTTAAATAATTTCATTAAAAGTTCAACGATTTTTTATTTTTAATTAAAAATTAAACAGACTACCTTTAATTCCAACGTTTATATTTAATTTATTTAACCTTATGGCTTTCTTAGATCAGTGAATTTGAAAGGGAGGATAAATAAAAAGAGATTTTTTGTTTCAGAATAACTGCCAGCTTTTCATAGTTTTACATTTGTATTTCTGTCTATGTACCTACACAATTCTTGTTCTTTTTTTGAGAAAAAAATAAAAGAATATCTAGTGAAAGCGCTAGGCTCGGATTTAAAGATCAACGGGATAAAGGAGAGATGGATCAATGAATGTCAGTATGTACATACATATCAAAAACATTTTCATGAAGAAGAGAAAAGCAAAAAAAAATATTTGAGAAACTTTTTGCTTTTCATATCTACCTTCTATCACTCTCCTCCTTTATTTAAAATTTATCTTCTCAAGACGTTGATCGTCTTTTGCAATCAGCTGCTGTGTATTTGGTGATCATGCTTCCGTTTTTTCAAAATGACAAGAGATTATAAAGAAGGGAAATAGCTGTAGAGGACGAGAATATTTATGTGGGAACGGAAATACTTCAAATAAATAAATATATTCAACAAAACAATAGAAGGAGAGAAACAAAAGTATTTTTTTATTTTAGTACATTTGGCAGATTTTTAACTAATCATTCGTCTTGTCGAAAGTAAGATGTGTGAATTATAAGTATAACATTTTTTGCGGCGACATTAAACAATCAACAATTATTTCTTAGAGCTTTAACTTTTAAATAATCGACAAATTGTTTAAAAACAAAAAAGACATGTTTTTATAAAGAAATATTAAACAAAATAATATTTCCTCATTTATTGGCTAGGGGGATCTCATATTTTTTAAAAATCCTCTAAATCAATTTAGGATTCTAAATTTTCTTTTTTTCTTCGAATTATCAACATAAATCAGAATAATTTTGTAATTACAAGTTTAGTATTTCAAAAGTACTTTCTAACGAGCGCATCAAAAGATCAACAAAATTTCTAAAATTGAAAATATTTTGTAGTGAAATTAATTCCTATTATACAACATAAAATTATATTTATATGCCTGTTAATGTTTATTAGTTAACAAATTTCATTAAAAAATATTAAACAACAAAAATGGGTAATAACCATGCCAATGCAGCAGTTATTGCGATGGAACGAGGTGGAAGTGGACATGCTAGTAGTGGAAACCGGAGAGCTCATCAAAACGACCAAGCCTATCATCTTTATCATCCTTCCAGTCATCATGTAGTTGTACATACAAATGGTTTGGAAATTAAAGAAATTAAATTAATTTAGTCTTAAGTTATTTAACTTAAATTTAATTGCTGTTTTGAATTTTATACAATTATTTTTTGGAAAAATTATTAATGAGAGAATCTATTAGTTTTTAAACTCCCTAAAAATTACAAAATAAATATTTATTTAAATAACTAGATATACATATAGACAATTTTTTAAGAATTTATTCATTTTTAAGTATTTTATAGACACAAATTAATATTTTTTTATTTTTTTACTTTGCCGTCTTTCCTATTTGAGGGTTTTGTAAAAAACAGGATGAAAGTAAAAGTGCCAACGGAATAGCTAAAATAATAAAAAAAAATAAGGAAATAAAGCCATACATTCTCTTTTATTTATTTTTTCTCTCTATTTATTAGCATTTTTACATAAATATTCCCACATGGAATTTGTTTGTTGAGCATCAGCACAAGTATTGCGTGAAGCATTAGGCCAAATAAATGTTAAAGACGTGCTTGTCTTTTTAGTATTTATTCCTTTCCTTCACATTCATCTCTCTAAAATATTTTTTACTTATTAATTTAAGTACTTACATATATTTAAATATTTAAATATATCAATGGCTTTTTCCATATATTTATAAATTCAATCTTTAATGTGCCATCCATCCCTTTCCTTTTATTTGTTATCACAAACGTTTATTTTCTATATACTACTTTTCTTATCTTTCCTTTTCTTAGAAAAAAGAAAATTTTTTGAAAGAATATATTTTTTATTTTTCCAAATATTTCCTTTTTCTACTTAATTAAGAAAATTTTTTGTTTCCTTTGTTTTTCAGAGAATGCTTTTTCTCCAACTTTGTTAATTGCTTGCTCTAAAAGTTGGCAAAAGTTGACTTTTTAAGCTTGAAAATAAATTTTTCTTTTATTTTTTGTTTCATTCTAAAAATTTTATTTAATTTATAAAAAGTAACAACATTTATGTAAAAAACTTTAAAAATTGTTAAAATTATTTTATATTTAAGCTAATATTAATTAAAATTTTTTTTCAAAAAATTACCAAGTACTATATTTAATTAAATATTTAAATTATTTGGATAACTTCAAAATTATTTATTCCTTTAGACTTTATTTTTTTTAGTTTTGTCTCAAACAAATTGCCATAGTCGATTTACTTTCACTTTTCTTTTATTCAAATAATTATTTATTTTCTAACCACACATACACATACATACATCTACATATTTTTTTTACTTTTATATGTTGGCTAACAATTCCCTCCTCATTTCCATAGTTTCTTTCAACGCGGGACAACTACCGGCTGGCAGCTTACTACTATTTAGCTTTTGCTACTGCCATTTCATTCTATTTTCTTCGTTATTCCTCCCATAAAGAAAGACAAAATCGATTTTTAAAAATGCCATAAAAATGTCCAATAAATGGAAAAGAATTTTAAAAAATTAAAAAAAAAATTTAAAAAAAAAATTTTTTCGATAAATTTTTAATTTAAGCTATGCTTTTACTCACTTTCAACTTTTAATCATCAATCAATCATTCGCTTCTCCCATACATCCCAAAATTTCTTTTCATTTAAAAATTCATTCGTTTCTCAAAAAATATTATTTTCTAATAAATTATTTTTTCTTAAATTTTTAAAAAATAATATTAATTTAAAATTAATATTTAATTATTTTATCAAATTATTAAATTTAATTTTAAAAAATCCATAATTTCATTTTTCTCTAAATCTAATTTTTTGTTTATTCACTCATTTAATAATTTTATTTAAGTAAATTTTAGAGTATCATTAAATTTAAAAAAGCAAACAAAATATTTTAGATTATTATATATTTGTAGACTTCAGCAGAGTGAATGAATATTATATTCTAATATATTTGCTTCTCTCCTCTTGATAAATTTTGAAATAAAGCTTTTTAAAAATTACTTGTTCTGTTCTGTCTTAATTTTAAATTAACATACCGTTACTTCTAAATGTCTAAACACAACTTTTTCACTAAAAAATACCCCTATGGGTCTAAGTAGAATTTGTAGAATAAGCACCATAATAAGCACCAAAAAAAGGTTAAGCATAAACGAAAATTCCTATCCTTAATTATTATTTTTGTTCACATTTTCATACATATCCATCTTTATTTATCAGTGAAATAAAATCTATAGATTTAAAAAATTATCTTTATTTAATAAATATCTTACATCGAAGTTTTTCAATTTTATTCAATTTTTAAAATCAATTTTATTCAAACTATCTTCGATCGAATAATTTGAATAGTAATAAAAAAATATTATTTTATTTTATTTTTTAATTCCCCTCAATATTTTACTATACCTGCACTATTTAACGAATTCCTATGAATGAGCCCAAAAATACCATTTACCCTCTAAATCAACTCCAAATATAGAAACATATAAATATATTTATTTGCTTTATAGAGGCAAAATTTTAACGTTTAATGATATTCTTCTAACTGAAAATAAGGTGCTCCTTCTCAATGATTTACATAAATTTATTTATTATTCACCAAAAAATGAATCAGTAAAAATAAAAATTCAAAGAAAAAAAATATTTTTTTATTTGCGAAGTTTTTTATTAAAATTTTGGAAATAAAATATTTTTGTTTATTAATTTCTGAAATCTTTTTCAAAAAATAAAAAATTTTTTAATAAAAATTCTTTTTGGTGAATAATTTTGTGAAATAAAAGAGTTTTTATTTTACAAAACATCAATAAATTTATACAAAATTTTTATTAAAAGTCAATGTAAACAATAAAAAAACTAATATTTTTTATTAAAATAATCAATTATTTAATAATTATTTATTTATTTATTTAAATATATACTTATTATTTATCAATCTAAAATTTATTTTTCATTTTATTTTCTTATTTTATCGAGCCAGAAAGGTTTTTTAGTAATTTTTATTTTTCATGATACACACATCGATTTGCATATTAAATATTTGGATGTAGTAAGTACATCAGCTGCCTTTAACGGTGGTTTAAGTTTTATCAATTTATTACACATTTTCTTTTCTCTTTTATTCAAATTTTTTTCTCAAAAATAAATATCAACTGGAAATTATTTTATAAAATTATTTCAAATTATATAATTGCTAATTCTGGTAATATATGAATGTAACATTTTATAATTTACTAATAATTTTTTAATGAAATTAATTTTAAATTTTAAACTAAAATTTTAATTAAGAAGAAGTTTTTTAAATAAAAAATATATAGTAGATTAGTTTTGTATTATTTAAAACACACTTTCTGAATCAATTAATTTTTTAGAAAATAATTCAATACAACAATCATTATCAAATAATTTTTTATTCACATTATTTTAAAGAAAGTAAATAGTAAAAAAACAAAAATATTTATTGTAAATAAATATTTTTTAAAAATAAAAGAAAATTGAAAAGAATTTTTTAAATTGTTGAAGAAAAAGGGGAAATAGAAACCATTCATAAACACATAAAATACCTCAGTCAATTTTTTAACATACAAAAGTCTAAACAAAATTTTAAAAATTTTTTGAATTAACACATGAAGAAATAAACTCTTTAATTAAAAGTTAATGTGAAAAAATCATTTAATATTTTTAGATATTATTTATTTACAATAAATAAATAAATAAAATTTTAAATTTACATAGTTTATTCCTTTTAATCAAAGGAATAATTCCTTTTAATCTTATATATTTTTTATTTAAATATTACTTCCTTAATATTTCTATTAATTATTTTCCTTTAATTAATTTATCATAAAAAATACTTAAATATAAAATTAACAATTTATCATAACAATCTTCTCCAAATAATCCCTAAAACACAATTTTATATATTTTTATTTAATTAATCAATGAACATTTCAGTATAATTAAAAATACATTTATTATCTCTAATCAATCAATTCGTCCTTCAAACAAAAAGAAATAAAAAAATAAGCTTGCCGCTGATTTTTTTATAATTCCACCACCAATTCTCTCACTACATTCAACAAAAACAAATTAACTTCATTTTTACCCCCGCCGCTCCTCTCTCTGCGCAACCATTTAACAGAAATTTGATTCTCTTCAATTTTGGCAAATATTTTAAGAAAAACAACGACAAAAGAAAAGAGAAAAAGAAATAAAAACAACAAAAATTTAAAAAAAAGTTTAGCAATTTTTAGATTAAAACTTTGCTAAAATAAACATTTTTTAATCTTCAAATTCGTCATTTTCAAAATTAATATTTTGAAGAGAAAAGAAATTTATCAAAATTGATTTATAATTTTTAATTAAAGAAGAAATATATATTTAATTAAAAAATGTTGAAATTTTTAAAAAATAAAAATAACGACGATCAACCATGTAGTACTGGGCAAAGTGGAAAGGAGAAAACAGCTGGAAATTGTGGGTTGACAAGAAAATATTTTTTAATTTAATTATTGTGTTTAGGTTATTTACATAAGTAATTATTTAGGAGAGTAATTGAAGAATATCTCTAGATATTAAAATTCGAATTGGATTTAGTCTATCTGGCCTTCCCAAAAATGTTTTTGTCAATTTATTTAGTACGTAAGTCTTATCCAGACATGCCTACTAATTTCGATTTAAAATTAATTCGGACTGATTTTGATTCTTATTCCGTTTTATGGAAAATTTTCATGTTTTTAAAAATATAATAATTTTCTTTAAATGTCATTTTTTATTATTTTTATTTACCGCAAATCTTCTAACCACTCTACAATACACACCCTACGAAAGGATCAGAAAATAAAAGCACACTCTCTAGTTGAAGCACTCTCCAATATAAGCACATCCCTACTATGAGACTGAAAAAATCATCATTTGTAACTCTTTATACATATTTATGACATAGTTAGTAATTACTTTTTTGTATTTAGCTTATTAACTAAAAATCGCAATGCGATTTGAACACTGATCCTAGACAAACATATTTATTCTACAACTTTTATAAAAAATAATGACCAATTTGTCTTTAAAATAAACAAATAATTTTTT